AAGCTAGATTAGACCAGGGCTTAATTCAGTCAAGACCAGAGCTTAATTTAGGCAGGAACACCCTGCCAAACACAACAGCAGAGGCTGAGCTAGGCCCTACATCTGGCCCTCTTCCCTGCTGTGACCTCTGTGTGTGACAGGCACCTCACCTTTCCACTGGGAGACACAAATGGCTTTATTCACCTTGATCAATACCAGAGCCTTCTATATTTATTCTCTGTATGGCTACTTCTGTATGGAGACTTCTGTGGGGTAGGATTCTGGCTTAGACCTAAACCCAACACAGGCCTTAGGTGACCAAATTAAAATTGGTACAGTTGTCTTTAATGCTGTATTCCCTGAAAGAATCATAGAATCATTTGAGTTGGAAGAGACCCTTAAAGGTCACCTAGTCCAGCTCCCCTGCAATGAGCAGGGACACCTACAGATAGATCAGGTTGCTCAGAGCCCCGTCCTTGAGTGTCTCCAGGGATGGGGCACCTGCAAGGCCATCCACTTCCACCCCCTGCCATGGGCAGAGATGCCTTCCACCAGACCAAAACCCCATCCTGGCCTTAAACACCTCCAGGGATGGGGATCTACAGCAGCTCTGAGCAGCCTATGCCAGTGCCTCACCATCATCTGAATACTACTTTCTTCTTTAGATCTAATCTAAATCTCTTTTAGTTTAAAGCTGTTTCCCCCATCCTATCACTATCTGTTCATGTAAAAAGTTGCTCTGACTTAGAATGACATAAGCACCGTGTTATTGGCTCTCTAGGAAAGTATGGAGTGGAAGAGGTGCCGTTATTACAGAAATCATGCTCAACAGAAAGGACACATCAAGCAAGAATGCCAGTTCATGTAAGGCCATGGCAGTATTTTCACACTATAGGCATTTAATGTTAAAATATGTAAGACATCCTTGCAGCAGGAATGAACGCACAGAACTCCTCCGCTCCAGCAGACAGCCTGAAGCACCAGCCTGAAAGTGCTTTCACCACTTCAAAGGGATGACTGAGGTGCTACCCATCACAACACAAGGATCACAGTGGGTTCTAGGAGCTGGGGAATGTGGTTTGGCTCTCATCCCTGGAGGTGTTCAAGACCAAGCTGGATGGGCCCTGGGCAACCTATCTAGTGCCTGGTTTAGTGGTTGGCAACTCTGCCCACAGCTGGGAGGTTGGAACTAATGATCTTTGAGGTCTCTTCTGACCCAAGCCATTCTATGATCTCCACCCTCACCCCTCCGCCCCAGACAGAGGAAAGTCTTTGACCACGGTCATGTTGTTTTCTGTGCAAGCTGTTGTGTGATATACTCTGATGGGGTTTTCCTAGAAAGCAGCATCCTGACTGAAGAATGGCTGCTTTCCTGGAGGGAGGGAGGGTATGTGATGCAGAGGGATACACTTTGATTTAGGAGGTTGAACTGGATGCCTTCTGAACAGCAGCGCTGTGCCACTACTGATGGCATGGACATCCAGATGGCAGCTGGATGGGATTTATTTTTGACTAGAGTACCTAAATTCTGCAGCAAATAGCAACGGTGTTTTCATCGCCTTGACCCCAGAAATTACAGATCTGGTCTCACAGAAGACAACTGCAAGCTCCAACAAGGAGTTTCTCACCAAGTTGTTTGTGCTTACGACCAAACATAGGAGAGAACCGGGAGGAAAGCCCTCAGCCTGTCCCGACTTCTCGTTCCCAGCCCTTCTCTTCCTGTGCCCACGCCTTATCCCGCGGCCGGGAGCTCCTCGCACGAAGGATTTCCTTCCGACTCCCTCCGAAGCACGCAGCGCACGGTGCCTGACCTCCGCTGTAATCAATCCCCGCTGGGCGGCGGGCCCCGCTCCCGCAGGAAGCGCTCGGCCCCACGCGCGGCCACGCAGCTCGGCGGCCGCTCGCCTCCGTTCCCCCACATCCAGCTCCCCGCGCAGCGCCGCCCGAAATAGCTCCCGGCGGATAATTTTAAAGCTCTCTCGTCGTCGCTTTGGGGTGGATCGGGTGTTTTTTTAGCCTCCCCGGATGACGCTGTTTGCACGCCGTGGGAGACGGCTCGAGGAGGCGGCCGAGCCGCGCGGTGGACGCGCACGCGGGTGGGAGCGGGGCGCTGCCGGGACCCCCAGGTTCCGCCGTTCGGCGTCGGTGGGGCGCGGCCCCTTCCCGGCAGCCGGAACGGAGACGACAGCGACGGAGCGCGGAAAGTGCCGCCGGCCCGAGTCGGAGCGCCATCAAAGGGGATCCCCCCGCCCGGCCTCCTCGCTCCTCCCGGCGCTTACTCAGCCGCCGGGGGGAGGCCCCGAGCCGCCGCCGTGAGGTCACCGCCGCCGCCCCGCCGCGCTCCGCTGCGTCACGCAGGGGTATCCCCGCCGCCGCCCAGCGGGGCATCCCCGCGGCGGAAACGCGCCGCTTCCACGCGCGTCCCGGACGGAGGGGGAGAGACGAAGGGGGGAAGGGGAGGGGGGGCAACGGTTCGTCCCGCAGTCCCTCCGCTCCACGGAGCCGGGCGGGGAAACCCCCTCCCACGCACCCACCCGCGCACTGCCGGGTGTCGCCGACCCGGAGGGCGGCCCCGCGACCCCCCCGTGAGCGCGGAGGAAGCCGGGCGCGGGCGGGGGCGCGGCCCCGTGACAATGGCCCCGGCAGGCGCTATTTTTACCCTCCCGCGCCTATATTTGGTTTGGCCGGACCGCAACCGGGGGGCCAAAAATAGCGCCGCGCGCCCGCCCGCCCCGCGCTACCGCCGCCGCCGCTCAATGGGCTCCGGCCCCGCCCCCTCCCGCGCGCGGGGCCAGCGGCTAAATTTAGCAACGCCGCTTGCGTCAATGACGCGGCCGCCGTGCGTCAGCGCGCCGCGCCCCGCCCCTTGGAGCGGGGCCCGCCGCGTCCTGTGCGTGGATTGGCCGCGGCGGCGCGAGGACGGCGTTCCGCCGTGACGTACGGCCGCTGATTGGCCCCGCCGGGGGCCGGCGGCGGCCGCAGGGGAAGCGCCGCCGCGCGGGGAGCCCGGCGGCATCCCCGGGGGGGGGGGAGCGAGGGGGGAGGCCCCGCGGGCTCGGGGCCGCGGAGCGGTACAGAGGGCACGGGGCGGGCAGAGGCGAAGGGCCCTCCTCCGCGAAGCGGCCCGCAGCTCCCGGGCCGGGCCGTGTAAAGGCCGCCGGTAACCGTGGTGCACCGTGGTACGCGGACAGACGGGCACACGGGGACGGACGGGCACGCAGGCGGACACAGAGAGAGGCACACTGACACACGGGAGGACACAGACAGGCGGACACGCGCAGACAGACATACAACCGGAGCGGCCCCTGCTGCAACTCACGGGCGGCTGGCTGCTGCGGGAGGGCGGCCCCGGGGTGAAGAAACGGAGGGAAATAATAAAGAATATATATTACAAAAGAAAAAAAAGAAAAGGGGGAAAAAAAGTCGAAAAGAAAAGAAAAAGAAAGAAAGGAAAAATATGAAAAATAGAAATAGAGAAAAAAAGGGAGGGGGGAGAATAGAAAATTAAAAATAAGGGGGAAAAAAAAGAAAGAAAAAATAAGAGAAAAGTGAAAAGAAAAGAAAAAGAAAAGGGAACAAACAAACAAACGAACGGAGAGAAAAAAAAAAAAAAGTAAAAAGAAAACAAGAAAAAGCAAAGAAAAAGCGGAGAGAAGGCTCCCGAGTAACTGCCGGCAGCGCCGGCCGTGGGGCAGCGCAGCTTCCCGGCCCCTTCAGCGCTCAGCCTCAGGCTTTGCGAACACCACCGCGGCGCGCCCGCCGCTGTCGTTGAATTATAAGCATCACAACAACAATAATAATAACAACAATAATAATCACATTCATCATCATCATAGAGGTATTTAATCAGCCTCAGAGCGGCTCCGAGGCAGCAGGCTCCGAGCCCTTCCCACTGCGCCGCGGCCGCCTGCAGCGCGCTGCGGGGCTCGGTTCGGTTCGGCACGGTTCGAGACGGTTCGGCACGGTTCGGCACTCAGCACTCAGCGCGGCTCGGCACCGCTCGGCACTCAGCGACGGGCGCGCGGCGCGCACCGTGCGGCGAAGGGGGGGGGGTCAGTAGCGTCAGGCTCCCATGGCGTCACTATTGACGTTTCGCATTCCAGCCGCTCTATGGAGAGGCCGCTAGGGCCGCTCTCACATAAATGACGTTCCGAGCGAGGCAGCGGAGAGCAGCGCGGAGCAGCCGCCGCCGTCCTCTCTCCCGGCACCGCCGCACGCGCACCGCGGGGCGCTCGCAGCCGCCGCGGGGACGAAGCGTGGCGCCCGCCCGGCAGCGGCTCGCGGGGCTCCGGAGGGCCCTTCCCATGCCCGCGGGGAGCGCGCGGTGCGGAGCCGCAGCCGCCCGGCAACCCCGCCGTGCCCCACGGCCGCTGGACAGCGCCTGAGAGGGAGCGGGCGCCTGGATGTAAAGACGGAACCCCCACAGCAGCCGAGTACGTACGGGGCGGGCGGGGAAAGTTGCGGCGCCGCGCTCGGAGCTCGGCGAGCGGAGGACAACTTTCGCCTCCCGGTGTGTGCGCCCGGGATGCCGCCTCTGTCCGACCGAGCCGTGCCCCGGGCGGGGGGCGGCGGCCGGAGCCGGGTTTTCTCCGCCGGGTGTTGTCATGGAAATGATGCTGCTGCCGGCGAGGGGATGGATGGATGGATGGATGGATGGATGGATGGATGGATGGATGGATGGATGGATGGATGGCAGCGGTGTGACTTCGCCTCCTGGCGCGGAGCTGCGCCCCACGGGGACCGCGCACGGAGCATCGCCGCGGCCGTGCGGTGCCCCCCGAGCCGGGGCCGCGGGAGCGGGGAGAGCCGCGAGGGCGCGCGGTCGCGGTGCGGTGCTCGGGACGGCGGTGTCGGTGAGGCGCAGCCCCGCACCGGTGGGCTTCGAGGCGCTGCGTTGCGCTGCGAGGAAATTACCCAGGGAAAGAGCGGAGAAACGCAGCGTTCTGCATAGGGGCTCGGTGCTGGATTTACTCATTCCTTTCTCGAGGAAAAAAAAAAAAAAAGAAAGAAAGAAAAAAGAAAGAAAGCAAAAACTTTGGGAGCGAGCCGCCAACTTTTCTCCAAGCCGCTCCGCTCGGTGACATTCTTCGCCCGCTTTCTTCCTCCTCCGTGGAGACCGCCGTGCGCCGGGGCCGGGCGCGCTCCGGCCGTGGGCTGTGGCACAGCGGAGCCTTCGCCGGGAGTGGCCCCGAACCCCCGGGGATACGGGGAGCTGGAAACGGAGCTCGGAACTTTTAATTGAACGGAGCTTCCCCCTGCGCGGTCCCTCCCGGGTAAACGAAGGTTTCGAAACTCGGCTGAAGAAGTCGCAGTCACAATGGAGTGTTTCACGCTTTGCTCCTCGTGTTACAGGGCGGGGAGGGCCGTCACTCGGGGGCCCGATGTAAAGTGCACGGAGGAAGAAAAGGGCTTTGACACGGCCGCTCATTGCCTCCTGATTTACAGCCCCGCGCCGCTGCGCTCCCGGCTCCGGCGGCCGCAGCCCGGGGGGAGCCGCGTGCCGGGCAGCGCGGCCGCGTCTCCGGGTAACCGGGGAACGGAGGGGTCCTCTGGGACCGGGATCGGGGAGGGGGGGAGGTGCGCTGCCGGCCGGGGAATCTTGCAGCTGCCCCCCACCCCTCCCGACAGAGAAACTCCGGGGATGCCCGGAATGGAGGGAGGGAGGAAGGGAGGGAGGAAAGGATGGAGGGGCGGCCGCGGGCTCCTCCCGGCAGGTGAGCGCGGAGGGGCCCGGCCCTCTCCGCCGCCCCCCGCCCGGGAGAGCCCCGTTGGCCGCTGACCGAGCCTTCTTCCCCCGCCGCAGCGCCCCCCGGGTCGGAAGCGCGCCCCCCGCCGCGGCCATCCCCCGCTGCCGCCTCCGCGGAGAGCTCCCAGCCGGCGCCGACCCCGCCGCCGCCCGCCGCCGCCCGCCCCGCCAGCCCCACCATTCAGCGCGCAAGGTACCCGCCAGGTGAGCAGGGGGGGGAAGCGGGGACGGAGGTGCGAGGCCGCCCCGAGCCACGGGGGGTGGGCGGGGAGCGGGGGGGACGTGCGGGGCTCCGCGGGGTGGCGGGATGGGAAAGCGGCGGTCGTGGCGGCGAGAGCTCCAGCCCCGATCTCCCGCTCGGCTGCTCGGTGGCACGGCACCTCCCGCGCGCTGCGGAGTGGGGGCTTTTAGTGATAGCGCTGGGGAAGGAGGGATAACCGCGAGTCCGCGGGGTCATTTGTGTTGGTGCCCCGAGAGGAAGGGTTGGGTTGGGGTCAGCGAGGCGGAGGCGCTGGCAGCAGCGGGGTAGGCGGAGCCGCGTGGCCGTAGCGGACCTTTGTGTAGGGTCTGTTTTGCCGTCCCCCGGTCACACTTATTTTAGACTTGGGCTTTCTTAGTCTGCTCTGAGCAGAACGCAGGCCGTAACTCTGGCGTGCCCAGAAACACCCCCCACCCACACCAGTGCCTTCCATCAGCCTCTGCGCCTGCTGGGAGCTGCTAAAAGCCCTTTTACCCCCAGCGGGTTCACGTCGGCGCGACCCCGCGGGGCAGCATCTGCCCAAGTGCTTGGCGGTGCGGAGGTGCGGGCAAGGCATTGCTCTCCCTTTGTATTTACTCTTCGAGCCGAACCGGTGATAGAAGCGGGACTTGGCACGGGCACAGATATCCATAGGAAGAAAAGGAATGGTGGGAGATAGGCAGGGCTGGGAGGCGAGGCTTGGGAGAGCGCTGTCCTGCTGCCTGTTTTCTTTCTACAACCAGCAATTTTAGAAAACGGCACTGTTTTGTGCTTTTGGTGGTTTTTTGTTTTTTGTTTTTTTTTTTTTGTTTTTTTTTCTGTCACTTTTTAATGTTTACTCAAAAAGAAGAAAGATGGGAGCACTGTGTGATGCTACAGCGAGATCTGGTGTTTGGTTCCCATTTACCTGCACAGCAGAGCTACGAGTTGGTTTGGCAGCTATTGGTTGGGTTCTCGCTTGGCACACTCAAGTGGGTGTCTAAACATCATTAGCAAAGGGCGTTCTTAAAATCCTAATGCAAACTCCATTATTTTCAATGCGGCTTTGTGTTTTAACAGGAGTTATTTATCACATGCTTACAAAACACAAATTGCTGCAATTAAGAGGAAATAAACTTAATTTTGATGGACATTTTCCCACGTTCCTCTTCTCCTTCACTGGGGAAACGGCACAGATGGGTGCACTGTAGCCCCCGGCTGCACACCCCGAGCATGCCGTGTGCTTTGGGTTTGGGTTGCAGACGTGGGGCAGCAGCCTGCAGTCAGGTGAACCTCACGTGGGCTGCAGCCACGATTTCCTGCCAGCAACAAAGGAGACAGTGCATCGGTGGGAAATGGAAAAGGACAAAGTCTTTGCAGCCACGCACTGCATTGCTGAAAGCATCCCAGCTGTCAGTGAGCCACGTTAACTTTTACGGCTGATGGATAAAACCAATTCCATTGTCTTATAAAAACAAAAATACCCCATCCTTTTTTCTCTTCCATTTTTGCAAATTCAGGGATACGTCTGAGCTCTGACACCCGCTGCCAATGGTGTTCCTTTTGTAATAAATATCGGTTTTAATATTATGCATTTGGTAATCTAGTTTACCCTTCATGAAGATTTTATGGCACACTCGCACGCATACGGGGATAGATTTAGAACCATAAACCGTTCCCGTTCTGCTTATCTAATTCTCATTGACACCTATGGATATGGAGCAGCGGATCTGGGGCAGCCCGAGATGGATCCTTCTCCCACTGACACCGCTATAGATTGGAGTTGCTCCCCAATACCCGACCCCCAATGCACGTTTCTTGCTGAAGGGCAGCGGCTCGGGGCTGATTTATGCTTCTCACCTCCAGGTGAGAGCGGGAGGCTCCGACAGAGCTCTGGGAAATGCGGGCAGCTCGTTGTCGGGAAGGAGGTAGTGAGCGGGGCTGTGGGCCGCGGGCTGGCTGTAATGTCCCCCTTTGCCCCTGCAGATATGCCCTGTGTGCAAGCGCAGTATAGCCCTTCGCCGCCCGGTTCGAGTTATGCAGCTCAGACCTACGCATATGGCTCGGAGTACAGCTCGGAGATCATGAACCCGGACTATGGCAAGCTGAGCATGGAGCTGAGCGGCACCGAGATCACCGCCACCGCCACCACCTCCCTCCCCAGCTTCAGCACCTTCATGGAGGGTTACTCTGGCAGCTACGAGCTCAAGCCTTCCTGCCTCTACCAAATGCAATCCGCCTCCTCCGGCCAGAGGCCCCTCATCAAGATGGAAGATGCCCGGCTCTCCACCTACCAGCCCTCGCTGCCCCCCTCAGTGGACGAGAGCATGCCCAGCACCTCTATGTACTTCAAGCAGTCGCCTCCCTCCACGCCCACCACGCCCGGCTTCCCCCCGCACCAGAGCCTGTGGGACGAGCCCCCGCTGCCTCCCACACAGACCTGCCTGCCCCCCGGCCACCTGATGGAGGCTGCCCCAATGAAGACTGCGCCTCCGCGCTTCCCCCTCTTCCACTTCAAGCACTCTCCTCCCCACACGCCGCCGGCGGGCCCCCACATGTGCTACGACCCGGCCACCCTGAGTTTGCCACTGGGTTCCGACAGATCGCCAGCCGGCCAGGCGCCCATGGAAAGCCACTCCTATGGGCTGCCCTTGGCCAAGCGGCCGGCCACCTTAGCCTTCTCACCGCTCGGCCTCAATGCAGCTGCCTCTGGCCTCATGGGCGAGGCCAGCGGTGGTGGTGGTGGCGGGCTGCCCTCTCCGCCCAGCAGGAGTTCCTCGTCCGGGGAGGGCACGTGCGCCGTCTGTGGGGACAACGCTGCCTGCCAGCACTACGGCGTGCGGACCTGCGAGGGCTGCAAGGGCTTCTTCAAGGTGAGACACCCTGCTCCCCTCCCTGCCTGCCGCCCCTGGGCTCCAAGCTCCGCACCCATCATAGTGGTAGAAGTGGCTCAGAAGGCCAGAGCAGCACCGGCACGAGGAGGAAACCTCATGCAACATTGTGTTTGGTCACCGCCTTGGTGCTCTTGGTTCAGGTGTCCCAGCACTGTAGCTTTGAAGCACTGCTGACAGCAGTAATCCACTTTGAGGCAGATGAAATTATGTGCTGACATTTTTAAGACTGAAATTCCTTCTGCTTTTAGATTTGGGCACTTCATAATTTCAGTGAATTTAGTTCTGTTTTTGTTTTTGTTTTTAGAAATGGCACCAATGAAGCACTCGGGGTAGACTTTTTTGGGGAGTGGTTTTGAGCAGTAAACTTTAAAAAGTTGATAAATTCAAGGCCAGGTTGGATGGGGCTCTGGGCAGCCTTAGCTGGTGTGGAGGTGCCCTGCCCATAGTGGGGATGGGGCTGGGGTTCTTTGAGGACCCTTCCAACACAAACCATTCTGTAATTCTATGAGTCTATGAAATTTGGGGCTGATTCAGTCTATTTCTTTCAGCACAGATAGAAGTTGTGCCCCTGTTCTGCCAAAGATATCCTAACTATGATGGGAACAAAAACAGTCCCAAAATAGTTGGAGGGGGGGCTCACCTCATTATGCTGTTGTTGTTGTACATATAACTGCTACTATTACTTGGTAATAATCCTTTGGCAACGTGTTAAAATACACATTTCCCCCACAACTTGCTTGTTATTTAAAAATAATTATAAAATGGAGCACAGATAACCTGGAAATGGCAGCTCCTGAGGGCCTGATCCTGCCCCTGTGGAAATCCATAGCATGTCCCTCGTTGGGGGCAGGATCCACAGTTTGTCCTGCACTCTTCTTTTCTCAGTTCTAAAGTGCAATGAGCAGCATTTGCTGTGTCCCTTGTATTTAGTCCATTGCAGCTGCTCCTGGAAAAAGAACAATGTTAAAATAGCATTTCCCCGATTATTTAATTGCAGTGAAAGATTTAATACCGAACGCTGAACTGATGAATTTGATCCTCTTCTGATGTCTTTCCTATTAATATCTTTCGGTGCTAAGCTGTCTTTGACTTTAAGTACGAAAACAATATATAAATATCCTAACATATTATAATAATATATATTTTTGTGACAACTTATACTATATTCTTTCAAGGCTTACCAGGTTTTTACAAATTTTTAATGCACTGTATAGTTTATATATAGTTATATGTAAGCCATTTTCAGTGTTAATTACATATATGGCTACAGTATAACTCGGTCCTTTTTTTTCCCAAAAGTCAGGTCGGCTTTCCCAGAATATTTAACTGAACATATTTGGAGGAGTTCTGCTATTTTTACTTTTCTCCCTGCTGATTTTAATGGCCAACCAAACCAGTTGTTGTGGCATTCGCCTAACAATAGCGATAGCAGGAGAAGTACATCGCAGATCGTTTTGATTTTATTTTAATAAGGTCAGCAATAATCAAGGGAATGAACCAAGTAGAAAATTGTTCCCAAAGGGATATTAAAAGCGGAGATAATCTAATCCCCAAAGGTAGATGCGATGACCTGGTAATTTCAGATATGATTTTATCATTCAAAGTTGCCTGTCTCCGGAGACTTGCTTCAGAACAATCCTCGATGATTTTCATTGTCAGTAGCTAACACTAATAAAATTGTTTTTCCTGCAGGCTAGTGTGTTAGGAAATTAATTTTATCTAATTATATGAATTGCACTGTCGCTTTTCATGTTGTAATTAAAATACATGTTGTCAGGTTCCAAGTTGCTCACGAAACTCTCGGTTCGCTGTTTTTCTATTGCCTTTTCTCAGAGGACGGTTCAGAAAAATGCAAAATATGTTTGTCTGGCAAACAAGAACTGTCCGGTGGACAAGAGACGCCGTAACAGATGTCAGTACTGCCGCTTTCAGAAGTGTCTCAGCGTCGGCATGGTGAAAGAAGGTGAGGGCTACTGCTATTATTATCCCAAATGCTGGAGTGTTACGTTGAACGAGCACGTGTGTGTGTGTGTGTGTGTGTGTGTGTGTGTGTGTGTGTGGACATAGATGTCTTTACTACGGACTTGGCAGTTTTAGATTCCTAGCTGCCCCTCAAATTCGTGCATCTGTACAATAACAATTTTTTTTTTTTCCTGTTGCCCAGTTGAGTGGGTTTAACATGTTTAGACTTTCTGGGAACCCAGAGTTCAAGGATCACAAGGTCATGAGGGGCTAATTTGACTCTGGCCAAAATGTGTCCTTTATGAACTATGAATGCCATTCAATAATGCAGTTGGCTTCCACACATTATCTTGCAGCATCGGTGTTTTGTTGTCTTGGGTGCCTTTTTGCATAGGATCTTGTCTCGTGGCCACGAGCTGACTGTAAATTTGCAATTAATTTAAATGGAAACTGGATCAACTCATTAGTCCCAGTTCTGCAAATATTTAAGTATGTGAGTAATACTGTGTGAGCAGAACTATTGCAAATACTGACATGGGAAATACAGCCTATATAGTGTGACCATATTTTTTGAGAAAACTTAAGTTACTGTGAAAGAATAGTCCTGCCATATAGTATGTGACATTTGTGTTTCACACTCTGTTTTCATTCAGCAGTAGGACTGTGTGTGTGCATATAGGGGTACATAGGCATGCTGCAAACAAAGCATGAGTGCTAGAAACACAGCTGGGCTCCAGGGAAGTAGTTATTCTGCTAGTTATGGTCATAGTTGTAAGCAATTTTGGTACCGTTTGTGTTTCTTTGCCATCAAAGGCATCAACAGCATGTGCTGAAATTGGAGAGTGCTCTTATTTTCGCTGGGCTGGCCATCGCAGGGGAAGCAGGTGCTCACGCTGCTCTGTCGTTTTACCGTGTCCTCACCACCGATCCGCTTCTTTTCTATGCAGTTGTCCGCACGGACAGCCTGAAAGGGAGAAGAGGTCGGCTGCCTTCCAAACCAAAGAGCCCCCTGCAGCAGGAACCTTCGCAGCCCTCCCCGCCTTCTCCTCCCATCAGCATGATGAACGCCCTCGTACGAGCTTTAACCGACTCCACGCCCAGGGAGCTCGACTATTCACGAGTATGTCTCGCTTTTCTTTGTTTGTTTTCTGCATGGAAATGAGTCATGAGCTGCATTCCTAGCTGGTTGGCTGAAATGAAAAGAAATGTGAAATTGGGGTGAGAGTAGAAGTTTGTCCAGCCGGCCGTGCCTTTTGGGTGGGAGGGGAATGGTGGGGAAGGAGGTGTGCCAGCACTCAGTTGGCAGCTGTTCGCTGTGAGGGTCTTATATTCAAGGTTATCTACCGTGTATGTTTGAGAGAGTGAAAGCAAATTGTGTGGATAAGTAGAGCAGTTGTCTTGCAAAAGGCTGTGATTACAATACAACTGATTAATCTCCCAAAGTCAGGACTATCCGTGTGTCTGGTATCTTAATTTTCAAGTTATTCATGCTAAAATGTAACAGAACTTTGATAGTGTGCAGCTATGAGTGTTGTGTGAAGTAACACACAATGGATAGGTCCGTTTACATTGAAATCATAGGAAATTTGCCATTATTTAAAAGATTACAGAGCCCAGCTTTGGATGCCCCAGCAGGAATACTTCTTAAGTAAAATTCACATTCAGGAAACAAACCTCTAAATCAAAATTCTAAAAGACTGTATCAGCAAAGTTTCACCAGATATTATATATTTTCTTACCCTAGTTCTTTAATGTGTAGTGTGCACCATTTAAATATTGGTAGGGTATATTTTGAAAGCTTATAAAACTGCTCTGTAGTTATTAAAATATAGTGTAGAAGTAGCTTGTAAAATTCATTCTTAGGAAGGCTGAATATATGAAAAGAAAAAAAATATAGCTACAGAAAAACAAGATTCAAATTCCTTCCACTTAATGAAATATGATTAAATCTCAGACTGTGAAAAATACAGCTGTACTCAGACAATATTCACATTGTCCATTTATCACTTGTTGCTAAGTAATATTTAATGCTAAAAATATGTTTTGTTGTAATTATATAAAAATGTATTCTTCTAGCTTAGAATATGCTTACGTATGTAATTATTTTTTAATATATATATTACATATATAATTTAGCAATTATAGGTATGTTGTAACTTCTTTTCTTCAAGCTAGTCAGTATGTATACAATCCAACAGTTTTACAAATTGTTTTTATGAATGAGTTGTTTAGTGTCTGACAGCCTTTGGGGGAGAATGCATTGCCTATATTTACATGTATTTTAACTTACCCAGGGAGTCTCAGGGTCGTTCTGCAAACACCGAGGTCCAGCTGTGTTTTCAGACAGGAATCTGCTGGGTTCCTTAGCATTAAATGAGCATGACAGCTCAGACCATGAGAGCATTATCTAATCTCACGTATTTACCTATAGAAGCAACATTATTTTGCATTACAAATAATAATAATTAAATGAAAACCCTGACTTTTTTTTTTATGTGACTTTCTTCTTTATCCTGTGACAGCTATTGCTGTTCAAATGGAAACAGTCTGTAGGTCTCACTGCTGAACAATCCTGTTGGTCGTTACAGAAAGCATAGGATTGACAGCAGATTAATTTAGTTTCGGTAGCTAAAAGATTATGTATGGTTGTCTGTTAGGACACGCTAATACCTATGTTTTTCTTAACATTAAAATATATACTAATCTATTACGCTCGGCAGTAGTGAAAATACAAAAAATAAGCTAAATGAAAGCAATAGATTCACATGCTTTCCATAAACCTTATACTTCTTTAAAAAGTTAAGGGAAATCAGAAAGGACTGCTGAGTAGACACTGAGATTAACTAACAGAAACATGCAGAAATTCCACTATAACACTCAAAACTAATGTGAAGGACACTGTACCTGTAAGGACGGGCTTGCGGCACACTCTGCTCGGCCGTGACCCTGCCGTGTACCACAAATGGGTGGATCTGGAAGCCTGGCTTGGAGTCAGTCCTAACGCTTCCATAGTCACGACCTTAATGTTTAGAATGGTCTTCATGTTTGCAAGATGTTTGCAACGTCTTGACTGTTGCAAAAATACAGATAAGAGTTTTGGAGAGGAACGTGCGCTTCTTCCCTCCAAACAAATGCAACCATCTACACCAAAAAAAAAAACCAAAATTAAATTGCATAATCCATACATTTTAAAGCAAAACACAGTGGAACCAGTTCTGTTGAGAACATGGCTACTTCTCATTTCAGCACTGGTTTTAACTTACCAGCCCACAGCAATGGTATATTTAGGTACTTGGTTTCAAAAAGCAATTGCTAGGAACAGAATTTGGTTTGTGAACTTTGTAAAGGCCAAGGGCCGTGATCAGGTCTCACACCTGTTTCACTGGTACAATTCCACGGGTTTGGACTTCTCAGTAAGTGAGATGAGAAGCAGACCCTGTATGTTGCCGTCCTTCTTCAGGCAAAGCAGCCACCGACTTAAATGGAGGTGTTTATTCTTTGGTGGGGCATTCAGCCAAGGATCCCACCCCAATCCCCAACTAAAAAATGTAGCAAATGTTGGTGCTTCTGACACAGAAGGGTAGGTAGGCCCATGGAGAAACAAGCCTACGTTCTAGCTATCATATGGTAAATATGCAACACCATCACTGTTAGACTTTTGTAGCTCCAGCAGTCCATGGAGGTCTGATAAAAGTAGGCAAGGGGTCGGGCTGGATCATGCTATCAACCTATCAACCTTTTAGATATACCTTATAAATCAGTGTTGCTTGCTGTGCACGCATCTGCCCCTTGAGCCAGTCGGTGTCGTTTAATTCCTAGCAGGGCAGCGAGCACTGTGTAGGGCAGAGCTATCCCTTTTTGGGATATCCCTTTGGCACGGGGGTTGGAAGTGGATAATCTTTGAGGTCCCTTCCAACCCAACCCATTCTATGATTCTCCTCAATGAAATAATCATGAGGGAAAAGAAGAAAAAAGTTCTTTGTGCATAAAACTGAAGCATACATTTTTTTATGCCTTCTTATACACTCATTAAGACCGCTGGAAGTAAATAATATTTTATTTCAGCTATTCTCTGTAAGCGCTAACTCTGTGTAGCAAGCAGTGACATATTATAGCAGTTCAAAACTACATAATTCTTTATAGTTTTTATCTTTCTTCTAAAAATGCTCTCATGGGCTGAACTATAATAACATATGCAGTTTTTTTTTTTTTTTTTTTTTTTTGGTGCATTCAATTTAATTAAGTGGCTCACATGGGGTATACAGTACTGTAGCATTCAGTTATGTGACATGATGCAGCATTCAGCTTTGTTGGACAGTATTAAAACTTTGCCTTACTTCTGCTGAAGGAATGCTTTATAATTATTGAGAAGTTAATACCTGACATCATTACACCAACTTGCAATGTGTTATATTTTGGGTGAATTTAGGGTAGTATCTTTTTTCTTTTCCCCCCTTTTCATTGATCAGAGGATCGAGAATGTGTCTTGCCTTAACACTACCTGTAGGCAAGGCAGGAATTTCCATCAGCCCACATTTGCTATTTTCTCATATAGAAAGGAGTCACCTCAGCTCCTCACAACAGGGCAGATCTTTTAGAATTTGAGGAGCTGAAGACCACACAGTGGACAAGCCCACCACCTCACATTCACTATCTTAGCTTCATTACTAGGGGCTGCAAGGTGTCTGCATACCATCTTTTTCCACCCACTAACTGTTCCCCCGTGCATTGTGCTGCAGTCCAGTGCCAGGAGTAGTGTTTTGCACTGCTTGAGCTTCCTCATCAGCTTCTTTCAGGTGGAGGACTGAAGAGAGAAGCCTCTTGCAGTGCACAAATTTTCTACTGCTGTTTCTCATCTTCTGGATATTTCATCCCCCCTCTTGCATCTCTGTCCTCCTTCAGAGTGGCTGTGGCAGAATGTCTCCATGTGAGCACCGACAGCCCAGATATGGCCAGAGGTTTCTAGGACTTCTCATGTTTTTGCTGTGGTTCAACAATCAATCTGACTATGAAACTGTCCTACCAACAGCAAACAGCTCCAACTAGGGCAGGCGGGGAACAGGACACCTACCCAAGAGGGTCTGCTTGTCGTTGCCCCCTCTCTGTCCTGCACAGAGAGGACGTTGGGTGATACATGCAGCCAAAGGGGTATACCTGTAGTAATATCCTTCCAGGCTCCAACCATGCTCAGTGGAGAGGAGATGTGGGTCCTTCTTCTCCCCCTCTGACTTGGGCTGCTAGGAGTACCTTTAGGCTGATGGTCTAACTATGTGTGGAAAGTAGCTTCCAACGGGTGTGCACTAATGAAGATCACCCCATCCTTTCCCTGGCTGAGTCTCAGAGGTAGGGCTCATAAGGAGTCCCTCCCAGAAATACCCCACACGATGCCTGATGGGCAGGTCGCTGTTACTTTCCAAGCACAGAATCTGGCTAAGCCACCAAAGCTCCTATTACATTTTCTCTTGAAAAGAGCAGTGCCCTGGGAGTGACAGGGATCCAGTGCTGAGGAAGTGAGAGAGAGCAGGGAGGGGGCTGCCGGAGGGTCGCAGGGAAGTTCTGCAAGCTGGGGCTGTCGGGCGGTCATTTGGAAGAGTTATGGCTGAATCAGTGGGATAATAGGTTCTCCAGAGCCTGAAATAATTCTCTATGCAGGATAAGAGGTGATATGGGGCAGCTGGTTTACTTTCAACCAATTCTGTATTCAAATGAAGCCATGCTGCACGTGTCAGATAAAAGATGATTTATCTTGTGTGTCTCTATCACTGTCTGATAAAATGCAATTTGAGAAGCTGGGGAAGAAATCTGCATTTTGGATGTACTGAGACAAATTCATCAATGGGAAAAATGTTTAATTGCAGTAAGCTAAATAGCGTTCCTCCTTTATTGTGGTTGAAATTATCCTCCCCACCAGATTGCTGTTTCTGTTTGCTAATAGCATGGAGCTACTTGCAAAATGTGATAAATATTGCATATTACTTAGAAATTTCAAACAATTTCTCTAACTGTGGAAATGTCTTTGCAATATACATCTGAATAACAAAATGCCTCCAGGTAGCTAAGCAGGTAGATAGATGGAGATCTGCTCAGTGTGCCTTGGACGCTTGTGCCAGCGTTGCTGCAGAAGGAAGTGTTGTTAGGCAGGTAGCACCATATGCTCCTCAGGATGCCCTGAAATGCAGGTCATGTTGTAATGCTGCTTTCTGTGGTTTTTCTTTCAGTACTGTTCCACCGATCAGGCTGCTGCAGGCACAGATGCAGAACATGTACAACAGTTCTATAATCTTCTGACTGCCTCCATTGACATATCCAGAGGTTGGGCAGAAAAAATTCCAGGATTTACTGACCTCCCAAAAGAAGATCAGACATTACTCATAGAATCAGCTTTTTTGGAGCTGTTTGTACTAAGACTCTCCATCAGGTAACTATTTATTTCATTTCCTCTTCAGCTGATGTGAAAAATCACCCATCTGCACGTTCTTAGGATCAAATATAGCGATACACTGGAATGCTGTCAATTGCAAAAAAACAAACAAACAAAAAAAATGATGACAGAAAACATCAACAATGTCTGCATCCACAGGAGATGATGTATAATTTGTTTTATGCTGCAGAAAAAATAAGGCAGTGATTTAAAAAGGGAGCATATTTCTCACTAATGCACTTCTTTTTATTTGATATACCACATCCTCTTCTTCCGTAGAAATCAAAATTGATCCTTGGGTGCAGTTTGAACAACTTTGCTTCATATTCATCAGCATAAACTATATAAAAGCACTTTTAGTATAGAAGCTTCTCCTTTTTTTCCTTTTTTTTTTTTTTTCATGCATACGCATCTCTGTAGTCTGTTGTTGAAAGGGATAAAGGAGCTTTAAAATCTTGCTCAAATTATTTTTTTCTTTAATACCAAGTCACTCAGCAGAGCGAGGTGCTGTCTGTCAGCCTGCCACCAGTTAAGATATTTCACCAAAGACACTTTCAGGGACTGGAGGAATTCCACACTGCTGATTTGAATTATGCCTTGCTTCTTTAGGTCGAAAATGACCTTTGCATGTAGCTCTTAACAGGGATACTGGCAATGGGGGGCGGGAGGAAAGAGAACCTGGCAGTAACATCACTCTTGCGATAGATTCTCACATAAAAGAGTCTATTATGTTGTGCTTATTGTGCATTATTGCGTGTGTTTTCCATTGTTTTTTTCTCTATTAATTTTTACAATATGAAAAATGCAGATCAGACTAAGTAAGTGCTGAGAGTTGCAGAACCCCATCTCTCCTCAGCTTCTATTAGTTTTGCATTTCAAAATGCACGCACGTAGTATTACTGCGATTCAAGCACACAGTATTTAATGTAAAATGTCTTCTCTGTTTATGCCTTTGGGCAGGACCAAAATCTTAACTAATTAGACAGTCTACACCACATGCTACAGCTAACCTCAGGCTTATAACTCTACAAAGTAAGCAATCGTAGAAGCTTGTTTGTTGTACTTTTGCCCCAAGGGAGAAGCATATTGTCAAACGTGAATGCCCACATATGTCTCAGGATAATGTGCCTTGGATTTTAAATGACAGACACTTCAATACTGGTTATGCATTTTGCTGTAAAGTTGAAGATGCGTCTCTAATTTTTTCAATTATTTTTATTTGAGGTCTGATACTGCTGAGGATAAGTTTGTATTCTGCAATGGACTTGTGCTTCATAGACTTCAGTGCCTTCGTGGATTTGGGGAGTGGCTCGACTCTATTAAAGACTTTTCCTTAAACTTAAAGAGCCTTAACCTTGATATCCCAGCCTTAGCAAGTTTATCAGCTCTAACTATGATAACAGGTAAGTGTTCCTTTGTTATGTAATGCTTCATACTCGTGCTTTTCTTAGTGTAAATTCAAGCAATTTCAGTTAATTTAGCAATATTCTGGATAAAGTAATTGCAATTTTTAAGTGTCGTAATGACCTCATGAAATTGTAGACTGTAACATTAGACCATCAGATATATCTATTAAACTGTAATCTGACTGTTTATTTCTTCTTGTTTTCATTGTTTTCTTGAAATTGTCTCTAAAAATCAAACTGCTTCCAGGCAAACTGAGTTCTACAAATATCTTTTAAAATCCTTGCTGAATTCCTAGAAAACAGCAAGTCACCCAAGGAAAGTCTTCTGCATGGGAATACTAACATGAGGGTGGCTTGAGGGCTAGAAGCTAGATGGCTAGCAAAGCATGGTGCCAGAAAGAGTGCTGCTTTTGGGAGCCAAGCTACTGTAGGTATTCTATGTTCTGATTTGTTGAGAGAGAAAAATTGGAGAAAAGTTAGAGAAAAGATCTCTTCTGCAGCTTTACAAAAGCTTTTGAGTGAGCCAAGATATGCGAGCATATCTCCCCTTCTGCCTGGTGGGATGAACAGCCAGAAACTAAAGTAAGAACCTACCAAATCTGGCTAGGAAGTACAAAACAGAGGAGCATAATGTTATGAAGTATCACTTTCTCATCCCTGAACCAACAAAGCCCCTTGAAGCACGCACTGCATACTTTGGGCTTTTGATAATTCTAGGAGGCACAGCTGGAGAGGCAGGAGGGGTAAGGAGTGCTAGGAGTGAGGGTGTCTGATGAGCCACAGGAGCTCATCAGAGCAGCTGAAAGCCTGACTCTTGTTTCAGAAAAGGCGCTAGCGGAAAGGTGCTGGAGGTGTGATGACAGCATGAGCCAGCACCTCAGCATGCCTCAAGCTGAGTCTGCCTGGGGATGCTCTGATGGGGTGGATATTGATTTCCTCTTGCATTTTAGGCAACTACCAGTTTGCAGGTGGTAGCCTCAACTAAATGAGCTGCAGTCTTTTTTTGGATGAGTTGATGCTTGGGAAACACTGACATAAAATGCTCAGTGGCAAATGCAAAAATCTGTACATTGACCTATTCCCACTGACAATGTGCAGGGCTAAATTTTTGGCTTCAGAATTTATGTGGTACACTTCCCTCTTGTTTGAGAGAGGGGTTTGCTTATATTTGTTGTAGCACAACGCTTTGTTTATTGCTAGAAGTATTCTAAGGTTTTAATTAACTTACATTTGATTTTTTTCTGCAGTTTGGAAAGGGTATGTTAAGGTCTGGATTCTGCTTTCTTTGATAAAACTTTTAAGTCCAGAATAATTTGGGGGTGCTTTGTTCCACATGAAAAAAAAAAATTCAAAATGAATGATACGTTAAACTCGTAAAGAACATTCACAACTTATTTTTGACTTCCTTATTCAGAGATCACACACAGGCATACATATTTATATATATGTATTATAAATACGTATGTGTGTGTATGTACATACCTATATATAAAAAGTATATGTGTGTGTGTGTATTTATGTATCTGTAAATCAAAGACAGTTGCTATCTCTCTCCACATATATGTACACACAGACATATATGCTCACATATGTACAGTGCTTGTCATTGATTTAGGTAATATCTGATATATTTGATACGTCTTTTTAGGTAGACACAGATCATGGAGCTTGTTCTTGATTACCTTTCTGGAGATTGAGAGGATATATGTAGATAAAGAGGAGCTCCTGCAAACATCAGTCTGATTATAGATAAGGCTGTTCTATAGGATGAAAAGTTTTTTCTCTTTACAAAGTCATGTCCTGCTTTTTGTTGAGTCAGACTATTTGGTTGTCTTTAAAGAGTCCAGGTTGTCCAGTGGCTGGCCCAGATCACCATACAGTATTTAATAGAAATATTTTTTCACTGATAAAGCCCCACAATCCTTCCTTTCATTGTAACAGCCCTTTCAGGAGTTTGCTGTCTTACACTGTTCTTCTCAAAGTTTCTAAACAAATAGAATGCTTTTAGAAGGAGAGCATTTCTGTCCCTAATGGCTTTAAGGTTTTCTGTGTTAACTTTTTTACTTGATTTCCTGTGCACCCTACTGTAGGGATCCTGCTTTAGCAGGGGGTTGGACTAGATGTCCCTTGCAACCCCTATGATTCCGTGATTCTGTGATTTTCTCCCCTCTATGAGATGGTGCTTAAAATTCATGTAGTTTTCTGTTTATTCTTTTGTGTCACGGTGCCAGAATATCTCTGCTGATTTGCTCTGAGAAGAGAGTACCACTCCATGCAGTCTAAATTAGATCGAGGCTCCTGTGTCTAGTGATTTATATTCACAGGTTTAAGATCTCTAAGGGCATTTAGGGACTCAGTCAGAAATTTGGCCACCTGAAAATGGATGGTACTGTATAAAGATGAATATTAAGAAATGGAAAATGAAAGAGGAAATCAGGTAGCTATGGCTAATCACTGAATGCTGAGGTGGTGGTTCTTTTGAGAATTTCTCAGCAGTTGTATATTTGTAATGTTCATAATCAGAAAGCCTTCAGATTCGCCCATGAGAAATGGCATCCTTGTCTTCTCTTGACATTTTGAGTATGACAAGTCAGATGCTGCTTTTCAGATAGTCCTACCAAAAAAGAAGAGCGCTGAAGATAAATTTTGGAAATCAGGTATCTGTTCAACATTTTAAGTGATTCTTTTGAGTCTTGGCTTAGATTCAGGTGGATGTTTTAGTGCCATTGTTTATCCTACAGAGAAGACACTTCTTTCCTATAACTGTTGGAGGCAGAAGGTAGTAAACCCTGGTTCAAATCCTTCCTGTGAGTTAGAGCAAGAAAGAATGACCTTTTTACAGGAATATATGATATCCAACTACTGAGTGCCACTGTCTTTTGTGTTGAGGCCATTTGCAGTTTTGTGAATTTAGTTGTTTGCTTTTATTAGAAGTGCTACACAACAAAATGTTGGCTTGAACAACATTTTCTTCATTATCACACAGGTTGCTCTAGTTCTTATTTTACGTTTGTCAATTTTTCATGGCTTGAACGCTCAGCCAAAAAAGAGAAAATGATGCGTAACAGTCATAGCTGGTTTAAATACTGTACAGCACCTTAGGTAGCAGCAAATCTAAGAATTCTCGTTCCTAGCACAGAATACGCTCCTGAGAACGATGACCTGTTTGTTCAGCTTGATTTCATGAGTGCTCTCCATAGACCAAACAAGGACATGCTCTTAGGAAACAAAACTTCTTGTAGTCATTGAAAGTATCGGTGAAGGAGGAAAGTAAGAGAAGCCACTGCTTGCTTTCATACGTTTGCTGTTCTGTGAGGGTGGCGAGAACAACAAACATCTCTCTCCCAGTAAAGGAGAAGGCGATTAATGTAACGCGTTGTGATGGGGAGCCCAAGGTGCTGAAGGTTGATCTCTCATTTTGGGATATCAGATCAACTCCTCAGTAACAATCATGGTAGCTCCAAAGCCCTGTAACTATCTCAACTGCAGCTGCAGGTCACAGTATATGATGCATGGTTATTGGCATTTACGAACATTTATTCTGTTCAGTAATCTTGATTAGAACAGCAGGGGACCTATTGAATATCACAGTATTCACTAATTCTCTGCTTACTTTGAGTAAAGCTGGTGGTATGCATAGCATAAGATAAACAGGAAAAGATTTTGTAAATTTGCCTCCATTAGCAAATCCATATATTTGTGCTTTTCCTGTTTATTTGATGTTTCCTGGGAATTTCCAGTGAGTCCCATAGAAAAAAAAAAAAAAGAACCATGTCAGAGTCCTGCTGAATTTTCAAGTTCTTTCAGATAGGAGATTAGCTTGAAAGAGCACCCGGAATGAAAGAATGACATTTGGTTTATTGTGAGTGGCTTGCAAACAGTTAATATTCCCTAATGTCATAGCATATTTTTTTTCTTTAAGGTACTCCTGTAGGATCTTCCTCTCTCTGTCTCTCTTCTCCTTTTTTACTTCCTTCAGTTGGTTAAGAAGGGTTGGACACAACTTCCTCCAGAGCACATCAGCAGTGCTCTGTGCATCAGCCAGAAAAATGTAATTAGAAGACACTCACCCCACATCTCCCTGAAAGCAAAAAATGCATTCTGTCCTATTCTTTTGGGTCGCTTGTTCTGTTGGGATGTAGGACATAATGAGCTAAAGAAGAGTGCCAACATGGAATGAAAGGCTCTGTCCTTAGTTTCATGATGATGACATCTGTTAGTTTAGGAGGTTGTATAGATCACAAGTGTTTCTGTACAACCACTTCATGCTGGACTTTCTCTAATTCTTACACTGTGTTGATGATGAAGATCTGCAGAACAGACCAGATATGAACTTGGACTATTGTTTAAAATACCCCCTTAACTTCCTGAATGGTCACTAATAATGCTCTTCTACCAAATGTCAGAATAGAAGGATTGAGATTACAGTGAAGATCATCTGAAGGGCTCACTCTTAGTCTCAAATTTGTGCTCTCTCTAAAACTGCTTGTGTTTTCTTTCTCTCTTGTTGATTCTCTTTTCCTTTCTGCCTCTTCCTTTCTCTGTCCACATCCAAATATTATTGTTTTGCCCACTTGACACTCTCAGTGGGATGCTGCTGAGCACAGAGCATTCTCACCCTAATTTAGCCAAGCTCTTTTGGCATATGTTTTAATTTAAGTATTTTACAGACCAGTTCAGAGCCACTGTATATACTAGGCTTATTCACGCTCTTACTACTTTGTTAGACTGGCACTAGAACACTGAAGAATATTGTGAGGTTTCAATTAATGGTGAGTTTATATTTGTCTTCCTGCTGCTGAGCTCTCCCTTGCAGTTTACAAACAGAGTTTTTAGCATCATCAGTTATACCAAGAAATAGTAATGACTCTGGGCTGGCCAAAAAGGGTCTGGCTTCTGCAGTTCCCTTCTGTATATGGATCTGTCTAGCTTTCCACGGGGGGAGAGGCTCACCTCCTCTTCAGCAGCAGATACCCTCAGTCCCATTGCCAGGATTCTCTGGAGTGGGTGCTTCGTGTGCTGGGTCTATATATGAGCAGGTGGCAGACTGGAGGAGTGTAGGAGAGCCGCTTATAAAAAAAAAACCCTCCAGATTGCATTGTCTGCCTTCCCCTCTCCACTTTGACGAGGGAAATACTGTCAGCATCTGATGTGAAGCACTCACTCCTCCTTCTCCTCTCCCACTCTTTTGATGAGGCAAGAACTCTTTCCTCCTGGAAGCTCCTGGTGGCCTGCATTAAATTGTGGTTTTCCTAAAGAAGGGAGCACACTGTGGTGTCCTCAGTGGTCATTCAGCTCACCTAACTTTAGGTTCTTCGCCAGAAGAATACAGATCACCTCTTAAAGGTGGTTCACCCACCTCAATTCCAAACTGTCTTCCAATACATTTGTCTTTGCAATGATGGTAGAAGGAGCTCGGAAGTCTGTGCCCACAGCCTGGGACCTTTGTGAAGTGCCTGAAAGTTAGGCAGGATGCATGTGGCAAGATGCTCCTGGGTCTGTCAAGTTGCTGCCTTGCTGTGCAGCCAAGCATGTGTAAGGCAATCAGAAAGCTGTGGGCAACAGAGCCTGGTGTTTCTTTGAGTTAGAGAAGGGGAAGAGGATTGTGAAGGGGGAAGAGAAAATCAGATAATTGTATTGAAACCGAGACAATCAAGAGGCCTATTTTAAGTCTGTACCATTAATCTGCTGCATTTCTGACAGGACTGTTTCTGACACTTCAGAATTAATTAAAGCTAAAACTGACCTGCCCTGACACAGAGCGCAGAGCCTAAGGGTCTCTCAGCTACTCAAGATCTTCAAACACTTGTACTTTTTGAGGGTGTTTTTCATAAAGGTAGCACCAAATCTGCCTAGCCCTGATGTCATCTGCTCTAAGACAGAGACTAGGGAAAGGACTGGCACAGCTGGTGGCAGCTTTTCCTGCTCTTTGACTCTCTTCTTACGAAGTTTTTGCTGATCAGTGTAATTATAGGACAGAATCACATCAAGATTCCCGGAAATTGTGTGTGGGAAAAGGAGAAAGGTATAAGAAACTTGCCGTGTTCACTTTGCCAGAATGAGCTGCTAAGTTTGCAGAGCTTTAAAGGCAAGATTTCCAATGAATCATTTTGACAGGCTTATGGAGAGCATCTTTGCCATAAATCACTGTTTTTCTTGCAAAAATCAATGGTATCCTAAACCACGAGGCTGAGAAATCCTATATGCACTTTATCCATGCCTTTTTAATTGTCCCTATAAGAAAGTCTGAATACAATAATATTTACACACCTTCTCGATTGGTTAGAGAAAATCTATTGGTTTTCACTAGCTGTCTTTCTTGGGATAAATCTTGACCTTCTCAGTTATGTGTGAATAAGAATATTCTGTGGAATACCACAAATGATTAGGAGACCACTGACTTCAAAGACAGGGCACCTACTTACCACAGGTGCCTCATTTTGCTACCTGCAGGTTAATTAAGAAAGACTGTGGGTCTTTCTTTCCCCTAAAGTCACTGGCTGTATGGAAAAGGCAAGAAAACTTGTTTTCTGTTGTTTGAACCCTAACTATTGAACTTAAATCTTTGATGTGACTTAGACTCAAGGCTCCTCAAGTCTACCTCAGAGAGGTAATGACCAGCTTGCAATGGCAATGCTAGGGCAAAGGGCCTATTATTAGCAGAGAGGCTTCCAAGCAGATGGCTTTGACTTTATGGGCCCTGAAGGGATGCCTTAAGGATTGGAGTCTGCAAACCCCTTCTATCACTGAAGCAATTCCAGTTGTAAGAAACGACATCTGTAGAGACAGAGCAAACATCAAACACTCACACGGGCAGTTTGTGCAGGGGAAGACAATCTTGTTTGTTGGAGACTGCTTTCATGTTGTAGGACCAAAGAGCAGATTGAGGTTGTAGCATGTCTTACTCCTGCATGTCCTGATTTTGTTATTTAAAGTAAGTCTGCCAATATTACAGTCTATGCGCATACTGTATTTTGCATTGGCATGCTTCACGGCTAGACATCAGAGATATAATTTGTTCATGAAACCTTTTGAACTTGTCCATGTAAGACAAAGACTGTTTGGTTCTTACTTGAAATGTTAACAACATTGCTGTATACTCAAAAGCCAGAAATCATTTTCCATACTCTATGGCAACATACACATCTACTGAGGCACTGGTTTGAAAATGTGCTTTGCTATTCTGAAGTCAGAGTTGGATCCATTCTAGTATTTTAGCTCTGTAGATCTATAAAGATATCTTCGCTTACATAGCCAGGAAACAACATCAGAACCGATTAAAAGATGGAAACTTTTCAAAGACCACAAGATTGACTTCATGTCGTGCAGATTCTCAGTGGGCTAGAGGTATAAAAAAAACAACAAGCCAACAACAACCTACAGCTTTTTAAATTTGTATAAAATATTTATCCCCCAAGATTTTTAATGGCAGAATCTGGCTAAGTATTTACTCCTAGTGACCTGTGTAGTTAAGGTTTACATAATTACACTACTCGACATTTACTGGAAAGGCTTTAAATATTCATTGACTCCTCATGTTTTAATGTAAACAAAGCACTTAGGATACCCAAGTTTTTTAATTCCTTCAAGGTGAAAAAGATGTCTGAAGCAGATGCTGCTGCTCGGATGAGCATTGCTCTGAAGCAGCAGAGCAAGTTGATGGCACTTTTTTGCTTCACCTTCTGGCCAGAGATGTATGTGTGTGCCTCCTGCTTCTGTTCCCAAACTAGTATTTTTCAGGAGATAGCTCTGCATAAGTCAGTAAAGTTGAAACAGTGCAAAAGGGATAAAAATCACTGGAAAATCAGACCTTTCCATTTCTGACTGCCTTCATTGAATTCCGTCTGTTTTATTGGTTTGTTAGGAGCATCTAGCCAAAAATGTCAGTGAGAGGAGGCATGAGTAGTTTATACACACACGTCAGGGCAAGGCACTGCTGTGTCTGCTTCTGGAAGTAAAGAAGAATATGCTCTTTCCAGTGTTCATCGGGGGGTGGACAGAGAAGGTATCTACTGCCACCTCCTCTTGGAGTAAAGAAAAAGGAGCAGGACTTGTGCAATGGGCACAACATAGCCCATGGCTGCCAGGGGTGGAGGAGAGGAATGGGGCAGACAAACAGCTTCGGATGCATCAAACAGAAGAAATGCCATGATCCTTCACTACTCATTCTATACTATCACTGCTTTTTCCATCTGTAGTTGACTAAAATTAATTTAACCTGTGTTATCTTAGATTACTGTCTCCAGTCTAATGCTGTTTTGCTCTAAGTGGAGAGCACTTTGCTGTGAAGCCACTTTTTACTTATCTGTGAATTTCCAAGTCAAAGGAAAAATCGAAAGGCCACAAAATTATTTGAGATCCTTCTTCTGAAATGTTAAATTAATTCATCCACTAAAGCTTGATAGCAAACAACATGAAATTATCTCTCTCATGTACTAATAAAGAGCCAGCTTTGAATGAATGACAAATCTGATTCATTGCACCTAAGCTTAAAGAACTGGAGATGTATTTAGCAGCATTGTAGCATTTTAAAAAGCTATTCAAATGGGGACAAGCCGTGTCTTCCCTTGTTTTTAGGAATGTTGAGATTTTTTTGTGATGGATAACGTAGCAGCCTTTTCACTTTAGGCACTGCTTACTCAAAGCAAAATAGTTAACTTCCAGGCTGTTTTTATTTTGAGCCTTTTAAAGAAGAATAAGTTAAAAAGCAGTAGCTGATCAAAATAACAAAGGATGGCGAGTTGCTTTTAGTTTCTTATAAGAGTGTTTGCAAATTCCTGGTGGAATTCTGGGCCTGGCGCTGATGAAGCTGGCTAAGGATATCGATCGCCACTTGAATTCACTGAATAAATAATGGTTGCCATAGTTATTGAGCATTCACAACTGGTGGGGAAGCACAGAAATCTCCAAAACACCTCCTGTGATAGTTTTGCTGGAAAATCACCCAGTTAATTCTGTCTCCTATCGCAGAAATTATATGATATACACAGAATACTCAGATGCATTATTCTAGAATTTCAGTCATGATTGAGCATCTCTGTTACCCATTTTAGCAGTTAAAAAGAAACAGGGGCTTATCATCTCTTATTTTGTGTGATAAAAAGGTTAACTGACATTGTATAACCTGAACTGTTGAAAGAAATAATACACTTTTTGAAGCATCTTTTGCTTCGATTACCAGAGCACATAGTTATGCTGAAGCAAATGAGTCCTCTCCACTTGAAGTAGGGATGCTGACATGTCTGTGTTTCTTTTCTCGTGCCCTCACTTTGCAGAACGACATGGCTTAAAAGAACCAAAGAAAGTGGAAGAGCTATGCAACAAGATCACAAGCAGTTTGAAAGATCACTTAACTTTCAGTTGCCAAAACAAAGGACAGCCACTCGAGTCTGCAGAGCCTAAGGTACTGGGTGTTCTTGCTGACTTGCGTTCTCTCTGCACACTGGGACTGCAGCGCATCTTTTACCTGAAACTGGAAGACTTGGTGCCAGCCCCTTCCATTATCGACAGGCTGTTTCTGGACACCTTGCCCTTCTGAGTCCAGCCACCCTCCTGGAAGGCAAATGCCCACCAGAGCAGGCAAACGGATCGTGACTTATCGCTAACATTTCTGCCCTCACTTAACAGAAAAGCAGCTCCAGCTCTAAAATGAGGTCTTTTCTGGCGCTTTGTCCTTACAACATGAGGCCTAAAACTTACTGGCTTACTGTTTTGGGGTTGTGTTCTTTGTTTTCCTTTTTTTTTGGAGAGGGGGGGGTATTTTTTTTGTGTGTGTGTGTGCGTGACTTGGGTTTTTTAAATGGCTAATATGGCACTTTTGGACAATGCTATCCCAGCAGCAGTAAAAGGTTAACACGACTGTTTCAAACCTGTTGTTTAACACCTCATGGGACATGAGGAATACAGTGGTAGAAGCTGTGTGTTTGAAATCAAGAACAGCAAATAGTTGTTTGCCAGGGTAGTATGTGTTTTGTGAGGATACCTTTAGCATACTTCCTGCATCAAGGGCACATACATCAGCACAATCGAAACAAAAATCTCACTTTTTTAACAAATTACATTCAATTGAACATTTCATATAAATCCAATATAGCAAAATGACGATGGCTGTTAGCTCCCATGTTCAAGTGCAATTTTTTAAAGTGCTGTCTTACTAAGTCTTGTTTATTAACTAATTTATTTTAATATGAAAATAAAAGGAAGAAACCAAGTGAGAAATTGACGTGCACTAACTTACATGACAGAGTTTTCCAAACTTGACTCCGTGTAGCGTGACTTACTGACAAATGTCTGTGGGAGACACGGGAACGACCGCGGCTCAGTTGTTCCCTAGACAAGGAAATCCAAGTAAGTAGTGGCTGGAGCGCACAGGGTCAGCATCAGGGATAGTTTGCCTTTAGACTTTAACAGAAGTACCTGGTTAGTAAACAGATGCACGATGGGTTTCAAGAACAAGCGAGTCTTGTAAAATAGTATGAATGTAAGTGCTAGGAAGGATATAGTGAGCTGCGTTTAAACATTCCGTGTTCGTACTCCTTTTTGTATGTTTATACTGTTGATGCCATATTAATATGAAATAATTTGTTGCATAGTGTCTTTATTTGTATAAACGTTTGTATGCATGGTATATTGTATTGGCTTTGCCTGTATTTATTGCAATGACTGCCAGCTCGTAGGAGCCCTGTTACACACGATAAGGAAATGGGGTGTTCACACTGACTCAGATACACCAGTTGGAAAACTATATACATATATATAATGTGTATATATATATATGTATATACCTATATTTGTGTGTGTGTGCGTGAGCGTGCGCGTGTCTTTTTATTAACCATTTGTATATAAAATATCTGTCAGATCACAAGCAGAGCTATTTTACAGTTCATTTGCAGTGACTTCTAAGGCAGTACTGTTTAGCACTTTGATATTAAAATCTTGCTCATGTTTTGCTAAATTCAAATAATATTTAAAGATTTTAGTTCTAAAAAAAACTTTATATGCACTGTATTAAGTCAAAATTTTGTTGGTCATTTTGCTAAGGAAATTTTTGAATGTCAACCTGATGTCACTGTATCTTTTGTTAGCTTTAAACATTCTAGCTTTTGTCTTTTTTTAAACTATGCTGTTTATATGGAAATTAAATTATACAATCAAACAGATGCCAAATGAATTGCCTAATTGCTGCAAAGGATAACCCAGATATCGAGTCACTGTATGGTTTTCAAATAGTAATCTGGTATTTTATCACTTACTATGTTTGGATGTGCTTTTATGAAAAAATTATTCTTATATCAAGATTTATAGTAGTGTCAATAGGGAAACAGACTTCTAATCACTATAGTTAATATTTCCGGTTTACCTGCAGATAATATTTGGAAAAGTATTGCTTTTTGTATTGACTTTTAAGCTTATGTGCAAACATAATAGCATAATTAAATATCAGAGAAGCTAATGTTTCTTGTAGGTTGCTGTAACAAGCCTGACCAGCAAGACAAATATATTTTGACTGAACTTGCTTTTGTATATACTAAATATATATATGTATACATATATATATATACACACACTCACACACATGTGCGCATACAAAAACATACAGAAGCTGAATCAGAAAGTATGTTTACCTTTGTCTCCTTGTGTCAGACACAAGGTCCCTTGGGAAATCACTTCTGCCTAGGGACAGAGCCTGCCAGGCGCTGAGCATCAGTGAAGGGGTCGTGGGCGCTCCCTGTGAGTGGGCCCTTCCACTGAGTGTTCAGCACAGTACAGTGAAATTGCTTTTTGTCGGGCAAGGTTTATTTATTCAGTGGGACGTGAATGGAGGGAGCAGGTCCAGAGCCCCACGTGAGATTTCATGTAGCCGGTGTGCTTCAGTCTTCCATGGATAGTCTTAACTGTGATACTCTCCCATTCCCGTCACCTACCAAACCGTCCTTCATTTCAACTCCAGTGCACAGACCCATCGTAGAGTGCAGCCAGTGACAGGTCACGATGGTGAAAGAAGAATTAATGCAGAATAAATCTCCTACCTTCCTCACAGCTCTCTCAGTGTGAACATGCCTTTTTCTAGGCAGAATTCAGGAATATATCAGGTGTTTTAAGGGAGAGTGCCTTGCTTTTGTTTCAGACAACAGTGTTTCAAGAGTTTCTTCACTCCGCTAACTGCAGTACTTTCTTCTTTTTCCTTTTTTTTTTTCCTTTTTGTGGTGTTAACCTGTGGGTTGAAAGAAACGCTCTTGTACATATACAATGTAAATTAAAATTATTAAATTGAATAACATTTTTTTCAGAGGCCCCATGTGTGTTGAATAAGTATGCTTAATTCTGTTAAAATCTGATGTGAATTTTTTATCATTTATAAAACATTAAAAAATTGTGAATTTGAGTCTTAAGAGTGGAAAAATTGGTGAAGGATGCTTAAGAACACACTGGCAGTTTAATGGTTAGTCCTTAAGTTAAAAGAGCTTTCATATAAATACAGTGAGACCCGCAGAGCCTGGTTACCCAGCCTCGATTAGCTCCTGTCCATGGCTGTCATGGAGGCTCTGTTGTAGAGACCTCCCTCTCCTCACTGCACTTCTCCATGTCAGCAAAAAGTTGTAATTAACTTGCAGATGATGACAGCCCCAAGGGAGGAAGGGGATGGCTGTAGCCATCCCACAGCATGTGTGTCTGGCTAGAAAGTGGACTGAGCTCTGATCCCGTCTCCTGCCCTGGTAGAACCAGGCCCCAGTGGGCACACACAGCAATTTCTGTGTGCAGACAGCTCTCCTCCTTCCCCTGCCCTTGCTTTGTAGGAGGGATAACTTATCCCCCAGCAGACAAAACTGTTTAACTATAAATCCATTTTCTAAGCAGTTCTGAGAGGCACCTGCCCCTCAGCCAGTCTCCTGCAAGACTTGCTCAGCTGGAGGTGGCACCAGGCGATGAGCTGTGGTAGGCTGCAGGATTGGCAGATCGTTCTTTGGAAATGTAGCAAAGCAAAGGGATGTGCAAACTCTTCCAAATCTTTTTATTTTTTTTCTTTTTTTAATGGCTTATTTTAAAAATTAGACCACTGTTCTTAAAATACCTAGTTGGTATGTCGAGGAGTTTTGCATAATAGTCCTGCTAGGTAAAACGCAGATCTACTGACAAACCCTACCCAGGGTATGAATTCTAATCAGAGACTCATAGAATTGTTCAGGATGGAAAAGACCTTAAAGATCATCAAGTCCAACTGCAACCTAACCATACTACCCTAACTCCAGACAAAGATTATTCTCAGTAGCTTGCTTGTATTTCAATTTGTAGTTACTGGGGGGACCATAAATTGTGTCCCTAGATATCAGCCCCAATCTAGATCACCTGCACTCATATCCTTACGTGTGCCTCATGTGCTTGTATTCCTAAATCACCGTGTCAGTGGCTGTGTCTCCACAAAGTGACATGATGCCCTGGGAGCCTGGGCTGAGTCAGGAGCCTCATCTAGTAGGGACCATCCTTAGACAGGAGGCCCCAAGGCACCCCAAAATGAGTGACTGTAATTAGAGGTGAGCCAAATCTCTTCCTACAGTTTTCCTACTGTTGCTTCTCACATTCAGGTTCACTTGTCCAATATATAGAGTTCAAATTTCAGTTATGATGCAGAGAGGGGAGAGAGAGAGATTTAATTGTACATAATTAAGCATGTCTGACAAAAATTGGCAACTCCCTCTATGGATGCCATGAAACGCTGTTTGATTAATTATTTGTATTATAGCAACACCTAGAGGCCACAACAGAGATCAGGACCCTGCTTGGTAGCTACCCCAATTTGCACCTATAGTACTCATCCAGGGAAGCTCCATCCAAACAGAAAAAGTAGAAAGAAGAGAACTCAAGAGAAAAGGAGTAGTATATGTAGACTGTCATGCCCAAGGGCAGGCAGCATTTCACTTGAAGCTGTGAGTAAAAACCTCAGCTGGCTGAGCTAGTGGCCAGTGAATGCTCTGATTCTGATTGCCTTTTCTTTCCTGAGGCAATTTTATACAAACACAACAAAAGCATTACAAAATTCAAAATGGTCCATATATTCCAACTGATCTTGTCTGCACTGTGTGCATGAGTGGTGCCCTGTCATCCATCAGACTCCAAAATCCTGCTCAATACCAAGTTTGGAAGATGTGATACAAGCTAGGTGGTATTTGGAAAGAAGCTACTTAGCTGTTCTTTATTAAATGAATGGAGCTGATCATCAGGAATATTACAAGATATGGATTAAACAATAATTACTAATGAATAAAAAGGATTAACTTTTGAAAATACCAAACTATTGATGAAGTAATTGAATAAATGTGGAGTCAGTTAATCAAACTCTTAACAGTTGATGATATATTTGAGAACTGTACTCCGACCTACATTTGTGAGAATTCCAAATACAACAATTTGTCAAATGTGAGCTAAGGAAACTCATTTACTCTATGGAAACACTTTTAGCATTATTTCTTTTGTTTTCTTTTTTAAGACACCCTTACTTTTATATTCACAACATGGGATGTTTTGGCTGCATTGGGTTACAGAAGAAATTTGAATATGGAAAGTTGTGATGTGGCTGTGAAAACTGGATGAGATTCTTGACTTGAACTCAGAAAAGCAAGGGTTTCCTTATGAAGAAGTGTGGGAATCCAGCTGTGTATCTCAACAAACCTACATGTGTATAATGGATCTACTCTAATGTCAAGTGTAAGATTCTGAAGTTATGAAGAGACAAGACTGTTGGAAATGCTTTTTTTTTTTTTTTTTTTTTTGGCACTGTTTAATATTTTTGATTGTTTGTCAATTTTCCTTAAAAGAACACAGAACTCTGGGATTGTTATGTGGAATTTTATCTAAAAAAAAATATAAATAAATAAGCTAAGTGAAATTTCAAGCAAGAAATGTGTTTAAGTAGTTGAAATACATTTTTAAAAGAATGCATTTTTACAAAATCTCCCTCCACAACAACTTGCATTATGGTCTGAGGTTTCTCCTTGTGATAAGGTGCTACAGTAGAATAAAAGTGAATTGCAGAAATAGTTTGAAACTGGGGAAACTTTTGAACCTATCAGAAAGAAAACAGAAATTAATTTACCTTTCTTGGGGCTTCATTATTTATCTTGCTGTGTTTCCTAATTAATTGACGATATTGATGTTTACACAGGGATTTGCTCCTTTCCAACTTCGCTTGATCCTGTGAAAAAAACAGAATGCTGCATTTGTAGTAGCACATTTATTCCCATGGCAACAGCCAGGGATTTCACAAACACTAATTGGGGCTGGCAACTTCAACTGTTTTCAGTACAGTCCCATATAATTTTCCCTCTTTTATCCATTTTTCATTATACCTTACCTTTTGATTGACTTCCTCAATACATTTACAGTGCTTCCTCATGTCCTCAAGACTGACTTAATGCCTTACCTGATTTACAAGTCTCTACTCTTTTCATCTGCTCATTTGCACTTATCCAGATAAGAGACAACTGCAGTGCATCTGTGCTAAGCTCTAGCTCTTATACTTCAAATGCATCCAGGTTTCAGTACAACCAGTTAGTTTCTGTACCAATGTGTGCAAAAGCAGCAAATAGAGGTACAAATGCACAGGAGCACATTCACACATAAGCATGCTGCCAGATACTTCTAAAGGTAGATGCCAAACCTTACTTCAGGTGGAGAACAAGCTTACTTCTGTAATCATTCAAGATCATTCAATTCAAGCGGATTGTGAACATTCACAGACATTCAATTTACTACGTGGAGAATACTAGTTGTATACCGTGGTCATCCACTTGAGTTAAGGCCTTGACTTGCTCACAAGCCAAGAACAAACCTTGTGTTAGCAACAAATCTTAGAATTGCAGAACAGCTTGGGTTGGAAAGGACCCCAAAGCCCTCCATCCCCACCCCGTGCCTTGGGCAGGGCTGCCCCCCACCAGCTCAGCTGCCCAGGGCCCCATCCAACCTGGCCTTGACTGCCTCCAGGGATGGGGCACCACAGCTTCTCTGGGCAGCTGTGCCAGCGCTTCACTGCCCTCTGAGTAATTAATTTCTTCCTGACATCTAATCTTAATTTCCCCTATTTTAGTTTAAAACCACTTCACCTTGTCCTATCACTATCTGTCCATGTAAAAAGTCAGTCCCCCTCCTGCTTATAAGCTCCCTTCAAGTACTGAAAGGCCACAACAAGGGCTTCCTGGAACCTTCCCCAAGCGGAACAGTCCCAGCTCCCTAAGCCTTTCTACATAGGAGAGGTGCTCTGGCCCTTTCATCATCTTAATGGCCTTCCTCTGGACTTGCTCCAACAGCTGCTTATCCTTCATGTGCTGAGGGTTCCAAGCCTGAACGCAGTACTCCAGCTGGGGACTTACAGAAGTACAGTACTACATGCAGAACAGAGGGAGACATCACCTCCCTCACCCTGCTGGCCACCCATTTTTTTTATACAACCCAGGATACATTTGGCCTTCTGGACTGCAATAGCACACAGCTGGATCATGTCCAGGAATCCCAAGTCCTTCTCCACAGGGCTGCTCCCAGTGTGTTCCTCTCCCAGTCTGTACACATATCTGGGATTGTCTTGACCCAAGCACAACATCTGCACTTGGCCTTAATGAACCTCATTTCATGTTCACTTGGACCCACTTTTCAAACCTGTCTGGGTCCCTCTTGGATGCCATACCTTCCTTTTATTGTGTCAACTACACCACTTAGCTTGGTGTCACCTGTAAAGCTGCTGAAGGTATTCTCAATCCCACTATGTTGTTGATAAAGATGTTGAAGAACACCAGTCCAAGACTAACCCCCAGGGGACACCACTTATCATCAGTTACCTCTTCTACATAGAGACACTGACAACAACCCTCTGGCTGTGACCATCCAACCGATGTTCCACAGGCTTTCTGGGTAACCTATATGGCTGCTCAGTCAATAGAACATCACAGAGCAAACTCAAGATTCCTGTTCAAAGGCTGACTTGAGAATAAGTCCTAGACAGTTTTTGAACCACTCTCTCAGCAAAAAGAAATCAAAATAAAACCAAGTAGAGAAAGTATGCCACTACTGTCCTAATTCAGAAAGAAAGACAATAAATAAGACCAGTTAGAGTAAATTTACACTCCAGGCCATTGTAAATGACTAGAAATGAGGAGTAAAATGATGGGCTTTGTCATTAGGTTACAAGTGAAGTCAAATTTGTTTCTTACTTAGAAATAATTTAATATATTATTAGTAGAAAACTAGTATTAAAATACTTAATTTTCAGTGTGATCACCACCTTCTTACCCTATATGATGCGAAGTAAAAAGCTTTTAACTACCAAAAATCTGCCTTGACAGTAAATTGATGAATGTTTTTAAGAGTCTTTCATTGAAAGCATGGCAAAATTACTATATTTGATAAGGATAACTTATTGTAATAAAGACTATAATTTTTTTTAAAAGGTTAAAAAGAAAAAGGGGGGGTGGGGGGGGGGAATAAGGAAAGGAGGAGCATTTTACATTCAAGTAAAAAGGAAACTGCTGCAAGAAATCTCATATTCCAATAAACGGCAGGATGAGCTTACAGGAACAGATAAAGAAGGCCTTTACTGAAAAAGGCTTTTGGTTCTCAAGACTACATTTTGCCTCTTTCTCTTTGAGGCACTGAACTGTGCCAACTTGCACAATTTTTGAAAACACATGCTGCTGCCATTGACTGAAAAGCTCTGTTTTAAAAACATAACACACACTTGGGAGAAATTTGAACCCAGAGCCCTCCAGCTTTTGCAATTGTTTTTATGGCTTCATTTTGTTCCCTATCTCCTTTAATTTCAAAAAGCATCATCAAACTCTTAACAGGGTTTTTCATAACTTTTGTGAACTGGGCCACAGTTCAAGAATTTTCACCTTGAATAATATTATTGCATGAAGTTTCCTGCCTATCATACAGGGCTCTGCAATGGTCACACATACATCTGCTTTTCATCTCATTTCTAAAGGAATGTCCTGTGGTAGCTGTCCCTTTGAAATTAAGGAGCTGTGGAACAAACCAGGGTTTGAGTTTTTCAGAGCTATTGCTGCTGTGTTTTAAACGGATCTGTTGAGAGGAGCACAAGGGAAAGCATTTCCAGCAGCAAGGCAAGCTGACGCAGTATAGCTTTTTGGAAAGAGAGTCAGGATTCACTGCACATAGAATCAGATCCCCTATAGATGGAAGTGAAAGCTTCCAGACAGGTGTAAGTGAAAGATTTTTTAAAGGAAGTTATTGAGAATGGCTGAGACTGAGATATTAAAAAAGCACGTGTCAGGAACTAAGATGAAACCTTAAAATTCTTGCAAAGCTCCTTCTACTCCATGCCTCCAAAGCAGCATTTATTCCCATGAGAACGTAACACAACAAGAATCACACTGCTGGCATCTTATGGACAAAGCAATTGTAGAAATCCAGTAAAAATAGTGGGAAATGCTATTTGGTGTAAACATTGTCCAGTTTTCTGTAGTGCGTGATTACAGCTCAAGCAAAATATGATGCCTGCAGTGTATTCTCTTCCTATGAAGAAAGGCTGAGGGAATTGGGCTTGTTCAGCCTGGAGAAGAGAAGGCTCCAGGGAGCACTCACTGCGGCCTTTCAGTATATGAAGGGAATTTTAAACAAGAAGGAGACTGACTTTTTACATGGACAGATAGTGATAGGACAAGGTGAATTGGTTTTAAACTAAAATAGGAGAAATTAAGGTTAGATGTCAGGAAGAAATTAATTACTCAGAGGACAGTGAGGCCTTGGCACAGGCTGCCCAGAGAAGCTGTGGTGCCCCATCCCTGGAGGCACTCAAGGCCAGGTTGATGGGGCCCTGGGCAGCTGAGCTGGTGGGGGGCAGCCCTGCCCACAGCATGGGGTGGGGATGAGTGGGCTTTGGGGTCCCTTCCAACCCAAGCCATTCTGTCATTTTATGACTCCATGGTTTGATTCTGTTATTCAGTGATTCCATGCCATTCAGACTGCAGCTTCACAAGCATTCCTAGCCAGCGCAGGGCAAATCTTCTGCCAGGAGTCACCCTGGGTATCTGCTGCTTCCCACTGCAATGTGTCCCTGCCTCAGGCCAGTGGTGACTTTAGGGATGGGAGGTGAAACAAAGCAAGAACCTGGTTTGGTTTAAAACTAAGTCTTCCCGCCCTCTCTTTACTGGTCAACAGCACTTTCCATGCACGTTATTTTTCCCATTTGTTGTCAGGATAATTTTTAGAATTGCTATGTACTCCTAAATGTCAAATGAGAGGAAAAGATCAGCAGGTATCCCTATGGCCGTTACCGCCATGCAACATTTGCCTGGGAGCAGCCTGAAGATTTCCCTATGGAAATAAGGGGCCTGTTGCGCCAAGTCCTCTTTACACACATAACTAGAGACAGTCCCTGTTCCAAAAGCATTTAAAACTGATGAAGCAACACAAAGGAAAACAGTGTTATAATTGCTGTATGAAGAGAATATCCGTGCACAGAGGTATTCAGTGATTTTCTGTCACATGGGAACTTTGGAAGAGTCGAGAAGTGAGTCTGGATCCCACCATTCTAGCCTACTCCTTAAAAATAAATATCCTTCCTCTCTTATGTCATGAGTCAGCACACTTTTCCAAAATGGTGCACTCAGCCTAACTGTTGTCAAATTGCTTGGGGAGACTCTAACCTGACATATTTAGCACATCCTTCCCACAGCTCTCACAGAAGCACAAGGATGTCAGCTCTGATCAGACTCAACCAGGGCTGCAAAACCTATCATGTCTGTAGATCTAAGATGGTCTAGAAAGTAATTCTTCCAAAAGCTACTGCCATTCTGTGCATGAAGACAGACACGTGAGGCTGCAATGGGAAACATTTCCATCAGGCTGCCCTAAAATAACAGCCTAGAAATTAGTATTATATTAACCTAGACAATGTTTTTAGACTTAGAAATGTCTAAACCACAAGAACTCTTTTGGAGGTGGGCTTCGGATCTCAGATTGCAGCCCCATCTGCTGTGAAGAGCTGTCAAGCCAACCTATCCAAGTCTGTGGCTTTCCGTCCAGTATGGCATAATGTATAAAGCAAAGGATGCTACAGTAACTGTATTGTGTTAGCAGTCTGTACAGGTGGTTAAAAAAAAAAAAAAAAAAAAAGAGTTTTGTTATCTATACTTCTATACTTACTGTTTGAAGAATGATTCATATGACCTGAGCATTTAGAAAACTGCAATGCCATAAGGATAGAATGGGGAGGAGGAACACATTCTTTAATCAACATCTACGCATGGTTAGAAAGCTGCAGACAGTTCTCAGTCACTGAAGCAGGTTAAATTTTGTCACAACCACGTAAGGACTCCTGTGCTAGTTCCTAGTGAGGATCAATCTGCCCCAGTGTCCTGCCTGCCAGTGGCCAAGAGAAACTGGGAATTAAGTGTGTAGAGCCTAAAAATACACTTACCAGGCATCTCTAAACCTTTTGGATCGTGCAACACATCAGTAAAAAACCTTTGAACATGCACCCCCCGTATATGCATTTTCACTTATTTATAAACTATAGCCATGTACTACTGAAGTTCTGACATTTTCTTCCTGCACCCCCATGGATCATCTTTTGCATTCCCTGGGGTGAGAGCACCCTGCTTTGGAGACCACTGCTAGAGAGGATGTCACCCCATTTTTATAGCATTTCTAAAAACAATAAATAATACTTTTTATTGCAGACATGTTAGTCACCAGACCTCACTCAAGCAGTGCAGACCTGCCTTATTTGGCTACCAGCAATCACGACACACTTGCATTTACCTCATGCACACTGAATGTGATACCAGTTAGAAACAGAAAGGGACAATTTGTCCAAGCATAAAAAAACCCCGTTGCCGTAACAAGCCAGGAACATCAATTTAATGTGGGAAATATTAATAGGAACTGGAAATTGTTCAAGAACATTCTACTGGGTATTTAAAAAAAAAAAAAAAAAAAAAAGTGCCACAAATCTACAAGTAGGAAAGAATTCATGCTGGGGAAGAAAGAACGTGTGAAACACAGAAGATGCAGAAATGTTAGTCAGATGCCATCAATCAAAATACAAAGAATAAAAAAAGGATAATGGCAGTAAACTGCAAAAAACATTTTGCTGAACACAGCAATATGAAAAGCTCAGTAGGCATTACAGTTAGAAGGAACAAGAAAACAAATTACGGTAAAAAAAATTCTATACCAAGTATCTCCATTACTACAAACAGGTATCATCACAATTTTGAACAAAGGCTCAGAAAAGACAGATGGGTTCATCACTGATTCTCTTCCGATTTCAGAATGAAGCAGGAGGATAAGCTTGCCCAACAAAATGTGGTAGATGGAACAGAAAGCCTGGCATCAAGAATAAAGAGTGTGTTGAAGAGTCAGTCACAATTACACATTTACAAATCAGGCAGCCTAGTGGGAAACAATATCATGGAAAGGACCTTTGAATTGCCAACTTACTCCTTAAAAATGGATAAAAAGGTGATCCTGGAAAATACAGACCTCTTAGTCATATGCTGAATCTGGACACGTAATGAGAACTTTCACTTAGGAGGCAATGAGCATAGAATTGTATGCTTCAGATGTGATTAATAATGATCAATAAAATCTCAGGAAGCATGGATTTTAAAAATAAAACCTTTTTTTTTATCTTCTTCTTTTCCTTTTGTTCACATCTCTCCTACAATACTAAAAACTGCCTTCAGAACAAGAACTCAGTAGATCATCACAAATTCTAGTGTAGCCAATTTCGTTCCAACCACTGCAGGGGATGCAAACCTTGGTGGGATAGAAGAACCTAACCTGGTCCTGGCACACCAGGACTCCAGGCCAGCTTCAGTGAGTACGAAGTTGCAGGGCTTAGCTTAGGGATGAGTTTTCATGATCTTTATGCATAAGATTAGCCTAAGTTGCCTGAGATTTTTTTTTTTTTTTTTTTTTTTTTTTCTGGCTCTGAATGAGAGAGAACTGTATTTTCCTAATGATTTCTAGATCAACCTACAAGTATAAGCCAGATTTGGGAAGGACACTTCTGAGTTTCTAAATTTGACAGCTACAAGCCAGAATTGAGACCATGACACGTAGCGCAAAAACAAGTTTATGAAATTGTATTTGAATTCTCTACACATGTTGAGAATTGCCATCTTTGTAGAATGATAGAATCACAGAATCCATTGAGTTGGAAGGGACATCTGAAGATCATCTAGACCAGCTTTTCTGCAATGAACAGGGACATGTACAGCTACATCAGGTTGCCCAGAGCGTTATCCAGCTTTTCCTTGAAAGACTCCAGGGATGGGGCATTAACCACACCACTGGGCAACCTGTTCCAGTGCCTCACCACCTTCACTGTGAAAGATTTTTTCCTTATACCCAACCTAAATCTATTCTCTTTGAGCTTGAGACCATTTCCCCTTGTTCTATCGCCACAGACCCTCCTAAAGAGTTTGCCCCCTTCTTTCCTGTAGCTCCCCTTTAGATACTGAAAGGCCGTTACCAGGTCACCTTGGAACCTTCTCTTCTCCAGGCTGAAGAGCCCCAACTCTGTCTCATTTAAAAATCTCTGATTTATATTGGCATAAATGTGTTGAGAATGCCTGTTTTCATCTGAGTTCTCAGATACAAACATGTCTATTGATGCATAACTGAGAGTATGTTCTGTTAGTCAATCATTAGTAATAATGTTCTAATTCTGTATCCAAACTCCAATAAAAAACTGTGGAGCAGAAAAACTAAAGTGATCGATCATACATCACAAGCAGCAAGCAATCAAACAACTCTAAGCATAGGTATCATGTTTCTTCTCAATTTTCAGGTGAGGACTCTGAAAACCATGCTATCATGAGAAATCAAGACCGGCTAACGAATAATGTGAACAAGCAAACAAACAAGCAAAAAGCTAAAATTATCTTATACTTTATGTAACACACATTTTAATATTGCATCATAGCCCCAATTAGTTACTGTACTTTCATGCACCAACAGTTATCTTTTTATGCACCATCTTGATAAAGGTTGTGCGCAAACAGGAAAGATCTGATCCTCTGGTATCAACTGTTGTCTCCATTAGCTTTGACAGAGTTACTCTGGCTTTATCAGCTCAAAAGTAAGAGCTGAACAAAAATGCCACTAGCCACAGTAATATTAATAAGGATTGTTAGTGTTCTGAAGGACAAAAGTCTATTAGCTTTTAATAGGTTTAGTAAGCTTTGTGTATAGGTTTTATATGCAGATATGCATACATTTACATTCTAATTCCTGCAGTGTTTCCTGTCTGTTGGTCTATATTTTATTTCCACAGGGGCCTCTCACCTTTTCCTTGTGCTCTTTCACATGGTGGTTCCCCAACCAGATGAGCATGCAGATTTTATCTTTATCTCACTGGCAGTGTCTGTATAAGTCAGCACTGACGGTTTTGTTTCCTAGGCGTCCCCTCAAGCTACTCTGCACCGTGTCATTCAGCATGTGTTTCTCTTCCTGCCTCACACCTTCCATTCATATATCTATAACTGTAAACTTTTTGATATCTCTGTTTTATCCTGTGCTTGCCTATAGCCTTCCTCCATATTCTTGGATTAGTGGAGACCCGTGGATTAGATATGACTTTTGTGAGGACAGTACCACTGCCTCACAGGCACTTAGTAAAAGCTGCATTAGCTATACTCCACTGTGAGCCCAGGAAGCCCCAGCTGCCCAGTTTCCATGTAAGCAGTGCTATTTTTAGTTTGGTGCCACCTTTTGCAGATTTTCTAACATTTTACTTCATTTTCTTAATAAAAACATATGGCAAACAGATGCCTAAGCCGGGCCCCAGGCACCCATTTCTTGTTCCTGCCTTTCCAGAATATCTGGGAAGATTCTGAGGTTTATGCTAATATACGCTGAACTTGCAATTTATTTCCAGTGCAACCTCACGGTGACTGGCATGTCATTTTAAAATCGAGTTCCTGTCTCTGTTGTTTTTTTTTTCTTTTTTTCCATGGGCAACCTTGAAAACATAAATCAGGATTCAAAGACGGTAGCAGCTGGGTATCAATCATAGGAAGCAAGGATGATGTAGAGATCTTCCTTCTCCTTCCCACACACATCTCTAAAAATTCAAAATAAATCAGATTCATCTACAAGTATCAGTTTACCAAGAGAGTCCCTGTCTTAGGTAACACTTCCTGCACAATGGTATGATCATGGCTATGTCTGAGATAGAAGAAGAATGAACTGTAGTCTTGAAAATGTTAAATCTAGCTCTGCTTAAAAATTACCATTCCCCCCTGGGATTAGAATTTAGCTATTCTGCACATTTCTGCAGTGACCAAGGCAACTATGACATAAGAGAGAGCATGCTCTAAGCTAACATGAAAACATGAAGGCCTTCAGTAGGGCTGTCAGTCTCTGTCATACACATTTTTCCCAGGCACTAACCTTGCTTTATATTGTAATTCTTCTCTCCCCTTTCCCTCACCCTGTGTTCTACTATCCTACAGAAACACATTTAAGATTCATATTGGAATATGTTTAAACTTATTCTGATTTTCAGAAGTATATTTATTTTGGAGAAAGTTTATCTTGGTTAGAGGGATCACACACTAATACCAGCATTATTTATTAAGGCTACTATGTCATTAATTTCTCACATGGGACCTGAAAGCCAAGAAACACTATCTCTGGTTTCCCTCTGCTCCATCTCTTTCCCAGGATTCACTCACTGCAGAAATTTAAACTTATAACTGGATCTATCTCCCAAGTATGCCCAAGATGTGTCAAGATATGCTTCAGATATCAAATGTCAGAATGTAGATTTATTCACACAATTCAAATGTTTCATTTAGAGGCTATTTAAATGAACAGCCTCTTAAATTATTTGTCATACTCCCTTTTTCCTCACTAAAAATGTTGCCTTTTTGTACAAATGATAAGAATGTTGCAATTGTCTGGATTTTGTTGTTTTTTTCATTAATTAATATGAAACAATTAATTATTGCTGAATTACATGATCTTACCATTTGAGGGACATGCAGTGGAAGTGCAGACATACACTGAATGAAATTGCTCTGAAACAGTGTGTAGTCAGGAAATCCTATGAGCTCTGAGACCACTGTCCTCCTCAGAATTGATTTACAGGTATCTTGTTCTGTATTTTACATCAAAATTATCTAGGGGAAAAAGAGAGAGAGAGATAAAACAACTAAGTCAATGCCAAATAGATTTGTGAATTGTACACATGATTTCCAAGAGATGTTTCTTTTCCTCCTGCACAACTTTTAGCAATGCAAAATATTGCTTACAAATAAAGGATTCAATTTGCTTGTCTATAGGGAGAAACGGCTAAAGAAAGAAGTCTCTGCAGATGTCTCTGCAATGAATGAGAGACTGAAGTTTCTCCTTATGGCTCATGTCCCAGACTCTGTTGTCAGCTGCCAAGCCATTTCTACTTCACTCTCTTGGTATCATGCTCCTTCATTTGCCTCAGTGCTCCTAGTTAATGTTTTATTATTGATTATTTGTTGCTAGTTTTGCATGTGAGCAAAGCATTTGGTAGCTTGTCTTTAGTGCTCATGTGGGCAGCTGCAGACCAAAGGTGTTAGAAGCCACTTGGAGCAGAAGAAATCCTATGTCCCCCCATCAGTAAGTGGTTGCATTGTGAGTCCCTTCATCCTGCACCAATTTCTGTTTCACCCCAGACTGATTATACATCTCTGCCTACAGACCCACAGGGAACACAGAAGAAATGTGACTGGAAAATAATTTGATTTCTGGCTTAATTCAGTGAAACAGTTGTAGTGATTTCTAAAATGTAGGGATTTTTTTTTTTCCTGGAATCAATGTTTGAAGAAAACAGATTGCCAACACGTGCCTTGAAAATGGCATTTAACAGTGACTTTATCATATGTATTGGAATATTAGCAGATACATTATGTGCAGAAATGTAACACGTTTCACCTTCTCCATCTAATCCGAGAGGTTCTTATTTTCCAGCCACCCACTTGGGCATGCAGTTATTCATTCGGTACAAACATGAACTGCACACCTGAAATATATTCAGATTATTGTAGAATTGCCTCCACCTTGCTGTCACAATTGTCAAGGTAAAAATATCTGTCTCTTTCTCAAGAGATAGATGATGATAATACAGAAATGCTTCTACTCTCAAGGTGCCTGTACTAATACAAGGAGTCAATTCTATTTAAAAATAAATTCACACTTCAGCAGCTGCTGTACTTGATGCATGCATTTCACACACACACACACAAAAGTTATTTACCTGTAATCACACATTTAGAAGTTAGGAAATAAAAGAGCCAAGAATGTTCCATGCCTGAGGAAACTTATTTTCCGCCTTTATGTGGTAGTATTATGATACATTGTTAATTATATGAATACGTGCTGCTTCACCTCAGGAATTTGCCTTGTTTAATCCAAAGAACACCTTTTCCTCTTCAAATTTTCTACTTGAGCCGCCAGTGCCATGAGCCCCCATAGCATTACTGGGAGTTGGAACTAGATGGTCTTGGAGGTCCCTTCCAATGCAAGCCATTCTATGATTCTATGATCTAATATTGCCTTTGGCCCAGTTTTCTCAGCAAACAAAGCTTCCAGTGTTGTGCTATCTTTCTGTCCCTCAGTCTGCTACTGAGCATTTTTGAACCCATGGGCTGATTTCAACCAAATCTGACAGGAAAGCTGAGGTTTAAGGAAGGAAATCTCACTGATGTCCCATAATAGCTGGGGAAATTAGAAATCCCCTACTGAAGTAAAGCCTGAAGCAGGAACCTTGGCACAAAGCCTCCAGGCAGCCCAGCCCTGAGGCAACCATAATTTGAAAGCTGGCCTTCCCTCACATTGCACCATGCACAGCTGCCCACCACAGCCCTCATATGGCTTCTCCCTTCTGAGTACTTCTGTTTAAAAATTGTTTAGACGTTTAGAAATGCGCTGGGTGCGGTACCCAGGAGGGCGATGATGGGGATTATACTTCTTAATGTTGGCATCAACTTGTACGAGGCTGAAAACAATGCATCCTATTTTCTTACAAGGGCCCACGATATCGGAGGTGGATGTTGGTGGTATGGCAGTAGAAGTTGAACTTTCCCTCCAGTATCCCATTCCATGTTATTGCTGTGAGACAGATGGCAGCAGAGGGTCAGTCTGACTCAACAGCATCTGACATGGAAGCACAGATGAAGCAAAAGTGTGGAGCTGAATTCCTCCATTGACATTCATTGACACTTGCTGAACATTTATGGAGACCAAACAGTGAGGCGGTGGGTGGTCAACAAAAGTGAAGCACTGGGTCATCACTGTTGGTACAAATGTTTACTACTGCAGCATACAGGCTCTTGTTCACCACAGGTGAAAATGCATAGCTAATGGTTGTGACTGTGTAGAAAATGAGGGTTTTGTAGCTGAGAATTTGCACTATTAAATGGTGTTATTGTATTCTTTGCATCTGTGGTAGTTTGCATGGAAATAAATAGGAGGCATTACTTTCAGAGTAACTTAGGAACATAGCAGAAATTAGCTTCTTTTTTCTTTTTTCTCTTGCCGCTTTCATTGCCCTCATCATCTTGCTTGGTCTGCCTGACTATAGTTTTCCCCTGCCTTGCACACTCCATTCGTCATTAAAACTCCCCTTCTAAGCTAAACGTTTGGGCTGTGCCATTTACATTTGCAGCCCGGAAACCTGTGGTAAAAATTCTCCATTCAAGGCACGTCAGGGCAATTTCAGTATTAGGTGATAAAAAATTCCCCTTCTTCCTATGCACACAAGTCACCCTTCAGTCAATGTTTCCAAAATCATCCAGTCTCTAAGACAATACAGCTGGGTCACAGATCACAGCTACGATGCCTGTGTCAAAAAATATAATATGTAATAAGAATATAATAATATAATATATAATAAATATAAAAATATATATAAATCAGCACACTATTGCAGAGTTCTCCAGTCACTGCTGCTAAACATGGATCTTGGACAACACATTGTAATTTTGCTAAATGCTGCCAATACAGATGTTTGTGTAGGGGAAGGAAATGGATTAAATCCTAGAATTCTTTTTATTCAAACACTGCTTCCACTTTCTCTTATAAGACAGAAGTGTAAAAGCACACGGTTGGTAACCTCTGGTGTATTCATAATTGCCATATGTGTCACATATGCACACATTTTCACATCAGTTTTGCTGAATGAGCTTTTACTGCCACTCTTCATCAGTAAAAATGGGCTTGTTTAGCTTGAAGAAGAAAAGGCTATGGAGAGACCTCATTGCAGCCTTCCAGTACTTGAAGGGAGCTTACAAGCAGGAGGGGGACTGACTTTCTACAGTCTGATAGTTATAGGACAACAGGTAATGACTTTAAAGTCCACGGGAGGAAATTTAGATTAGATATTACGAAGAAATTTTTCACTCAGAGGGCGGTGCTTTGGTGCCCCATCCCTGGAGGCACTCAAGGCCAGGCTGGATGGGGCCCTGGGCAGCTGAGCTGGTGGGGGTCAGCCCATGGCAGGGAGGTGGACTAGATCATCTCTAAGGTCCCCTCCAACCTAAGTCATTCTATGATTCTATGAAAATCACTAAACGCAGGCAGTGAAAAACTACGACATCTGTAAAACACATTCATTCAGCACTACCTGTTATACATCTCAGCAAATCTGCTTGTGCATCCAACTCACCTCCCAAGAACAAACATTTCCTCAGTTTGTAAAATTCCCAGTCTTAATTGCCTTGCAGAATGACCACCTCTTTTTATTTTTTCTCTTTCTCTACTGCTTTAGAGTTCTGATTTGCTGGTTCAGTTCACATCCTCATGCACTTAGTGACACTTAACACTGTGCTTTGGCAGAAAATTGCTAACGAAAGGCTGAAGCAGGAAGACAGGAAGACTGGACATCACACTAGAGAAGAAACACTACTAAAACTACAGTACTAATCTCCAATGTATAAAAAAAAAAAAAAAAAAAAAAGGGAATTTAAACTTTGAAGTACAACTCCATGCCTTGTAACTATGATAAGATATTTTGGTTGACTTTCAGTAAGTCAACACTGAAATAGGACATTTAAAAATCTTTTTAAAGTCAAATCCTGGTGACACTCAAATCAATAACTTACTTTGATAAAATGTGACTATTATCTGAGAAATTCATATTACAAATTATTTGTTTTAAAACCTAACAGCTGCACTCCTCTGGCCTTTAAAAATTAAACACTAAATTGATAAAAATACTACTTAATGTAGCTTTGCATGCTATTGCTTCCAACATCTCTTTAAAACTTCCAAATCCATAAAAGAATTAAAAAACAGTTGGATATAATCATGTATATCTAAGGAAAATCTACCATTTTGCATTAAAATTTTTACTTTTCATGCAGTTTTCTTGAGAAGTGCTGCTAGTTTTGTCACATAGAGCTACTATGTGCTCTTTGCAAGTTACTTCAAGAGCAATTGGGTAGATAGAGCAAGATTCCTTGATAACTGCCACCTGTAAAGGAAAAATAGACCAAACAGCAAGTTTCAAAACTTACTGCCAGTCTTATCTCCTAAAAAGAGTCTGATGAGGTAACAGGCATGATGCTGAGAGTGCAATCAAAGGTATCACGGATAGGCATGTTTGTTGAATGGGTCCAGAAAGTCTAGGGCAGTGCTGCAAAGAGAATTAGAACATTACTTCCCACTTGGAACTGATAATACAAACAGAGGAAGTGGAAAGCACCATTCCCTTGCAATTCATAGACAAACCTATGGCACTGACTGGAATTAAGCTCCGTCAGAACAATAGCCTTAGACTATTTCATGCAACACACACCAGCATGGTTGGATTAGATTATCTTAGTGGTCTCTTCCAACTTTAATGAGTCTGTGATATCTCAGCATTTTCAAATGAAGAGTTTTGGTGACTTACATACAACATTGGCACAGTGGTCACCAGCGTCATTTGAGTGTCCTTTGCTTCAGCTCTTGATGGCTGTGAACGTCCATCTTTAACACCTCTTCCTCTCCTTACAGTACTGATATCATTGCTACATGTTATTATGAGTGCTTTTAGCACTGCTACAGGGCTTCTAGGTCTGTCAGAGAGCAGCACAGACAGGGCATTTGGACAGTGGAAAAGGTAAAGAGTTTTGATGATGAGTCATACATACTGGAATAGAGATGGGGAAAGGACAAGAAGGGGATCTCCTGAGGTACTGAATCCTGCCTTCTCTAGTACTTCACTGTATCGCTTGGGAAAATGATGACAAGTATTGCTATTGAAGAACAGACACAGCAAGAGACTGGACAAGTCAGAAATAAGTATAGTCATGAAGAAATAAAATTAATAATAAAAATCTAAGAAAAAGAGCTACATTAAAAATTCCTACTTTGAAGAATACCTAAGAGATCTAAGAAACTACTTGTAAAAGAAAGTTGGATAGCAGACTTTGCACTTAGAACCACAGAAATGTTGTCTTAGTTTCTTTTGAGGCCTGAGGCTTGTAAGAACTGTTTTGCATTCGTCACTTCCATCCTATTCACTTTGGAATTGCTGTCCAACTCAAGAGGTGACCCTCAAGATAAAGCAGTTAGACACACTGAAAATGGGATCTGATAGGATTGTCAAATGATGCTATTGCTGTGCAAAGTTGCCAAACACAGCCACACACCAATTGAAGGGCTCTTGCCCAATGATTCACCCATCTGTGACTGTTGTAGAAAATGTCCACTCATAAATGATTGAAATCCATCCTGTGGACAGATTTGCCACCTGGATTTAAAATTGCTAAAATAACTCATACTACACCAGCCAAGCATTAAGTTAATGCACTCTTAAGCTTGTGCACACAAAGCAAATATCTCTGTTCACAGTACCTCACAGAACATTAATCCAATTACTATTTCTGAGGTGAGAAATGAAGCAATTTTAGTCATACTTCAGGGTTTAATTCAAATTATAATAATGGTATTTAAAAAATAAACATCTTTAACTAAAAATTGTTTTCCCCACAAGATTATGTTTGTTTTTTTTGTTGTTTGATGGATGACTATAACAGTAAGAAATCAGCATTTTAATGGCTCACCTAAATACTACACAAAGATGTAAATATTCAGTGCAATGTGCAGGAAATTAGTAGTAGCATTAGCAGTAATGGGACTTGCATGGCTAATTCTCCACATAGCTAGCTGAACATGTTTCCCAAAGTACTCATCAAGAAATACAAACTTTCAATTACATTTTTAACTAAAATAGGCTTTAGAGGCTTTCTTTCTTTCTCTGAACTCAGTTTCAATAAGACTGAACTTCAGGGCTTCACGATGTTGCTGCTTTATTAAAAGTAAATAGAGTAAGATTCAAACATTAAAAAAGAATTAAAAAAACCACTGACAAAATACCCTCACTAGAGATCTAACTCTCTATGGATCATGTATATTCGTTTATGCAGCATCTTCGCTCCATGGTTGCAGTACTTGAGAACTTCACAGTTTCAGTGTATAAAAGACACTCCCTGTGAGGTAGGAAGTAAAAAGATAACTTTGCGATGGATTTGATATCCTTCACCTCTGCACCTTTGCACCTTTGACACTATACCATACTTCATTTCAAGAAATGCTGATGAGCACCTCTGCAGCAAAACAACCTAGCAAGGCAGAAAGAAACACGTTTGACATCTGAACCTAAGCCATTTATATTATGTCAGCATTTCAACTTGTGGTTTAGACCTACCAAGAAGGAGACATTGATGGAGTTAATTGTAAGTGACTATCTTCCTGTTCTGTGTATTTCAGAGAAAAGGGTCTGACTTCTGCCATGAGCAGCTTACACTTTTCAAGATAATACCAGCAAGCATCACTGTAAAGATTCAGGTCATACGGGGTTCCCTAGATAGAAAGAAACTGACGGATAGTAGAAGATGTGTAAGACAAAAATAAAGCAGTGCAGGACCGAATAGGGCTCTGATTCGATAAATTATATTTTATGACTTATTGAGGTAATGTTTCAGTTACATTTAAGATTGGACACCACTTGCCACACATTAGAAATGACAGTTACATTCTAGTAAGAGATGTCGTATTAACTCGACATTCCTTCTCTTCACTTCTGACTCACCCTGACTCCTTCTAGTGTGAATTTCTTTTCTGTGAGTGAAAAGACTTCTTTGTAGTATTTCACTATTTATTATGCAGCTTTCAATCATTTTCAGTGCACCTGTGTGGACAGTTTTTAAGCTACATAGACAGCCATTGAGCTAGCCAAGTAACACCTTGGGGTTACAGCAGAGAATTCCAGGAAAACTTTTCAGACACAGTTAAAAAACATACAAAAAAGGCGAAATATATCAAATGATAGGAACTATTAGGAAAACAACAGACAACAAAATAAAAAATACAACTGCAAGATAGATTGAATAAATCTGTCTTATGCACACAAAATAAATACAGTGTGCAGCTCTGTTTCTCTCATCTAAAATAAATAAAATAATAATTAAAATTAAAAAGTAATATCAAAACTGGAAAAGGCCCAAAGAAATAAACCAAAAAGGATGATAAAATGTGTATACTAATGTGTCCAGAAGGAGTGGTTGAAAAAGCCAGGACATTTCAGGCTCCCAGAATGACAACTACGGGCAGAAATGCGATCTACATGATACTGATTAGTATGGAGAGGGTAGGCTGGAATCATTTGCCAGAAAGAGCCAGGCTAGTAATGCAGAGGGTAGCATATGTGTGAAAATCCTTGTCAAAGAGCTCTGTGGCTGAAAGAACTCTATTTCATTTGCAGGGAAGACTGGGTGAACACATGAAACAGGCACGTACTGGAGTTAATGGGGAAACAAAGCACATCTGGTTCAGGATACCCGAAACGTAAAGAAAACGTCAAAGGTTAGGAGAATGTTAAGGAGGAACAATTGCCTCATTCTTCCTTTCCCCTCATTATGAACTTGTGAGCACTGCTGAAGACAACACAAAGCTAGATGGCATACAAGGCACTTGTACAAAGATTAATTAAGGTCATTATATTGACTGGGAAATTCCTGATTAACTTAAGATTCTACTTGAAGACTGACACAGATTTTAAATCAAAAACAATCTAATAAACTCTTTATTGCCAGAAAAAAGAATTTCCAGGAAATGTTTTCCAGGGAATGGTTTTAAACTGAGACAGGAGAGGTTTAGGTTAGATATTAGGAGGAAGTTTTTCACACACAGGGTGGTGATGCACTGGAACAGGTTGCCCAAGGAGGGATGCTCCATCCCTGGAGGCATTCAAGGCCAGGCTGGATGTGGTTCTGGGCAGCCTGGTCTGGTGGTTGGCAACCCTGCACATAGCAGGGCGGTTGAAACTAGATGATCATTGTGGTCCTTCTCAACCCAGGCCATTCTATGATTCTATGATTCTATGAAATGTCCCATAATCCAAACTAGCTGGGCTAAACCTCTATTCACTTCTACTCTGAGAAGGAACAACCTTCTTGGCAGAGCTAAACAATGTACTGTCCTTCTGATTATCTGGTAAGAGGGAGGAGATGAAGCAAAGAAGGCAGAGACAACTCCAGAAGTCTTAAAAGACTTCAAATCAGTCAGTGAAAAATGTGGATTTTCTACTTTTTAATTTATTCCTAAAATTCCCTGGAATTTTTATTGACCAGACCATTGTTAATGATCTGCATGTGTTAGAGAAGCAGCAGGATCAGAATTACTTTCCTAATGAAGAAAGAAAAATTAAAAATGGTTCAAAAGCATTTTAATCAAGTCTGTTTATGAATGCAAGCCCACGATATGACACCTCTGGTCTGCAGTTAAAAGGCATTCTGAATGCCTCTCTCAAGCCTGAATAGTTTTACAGAATAAATGTTTACTAGTAAGTATGGTGGATGAATTGTAAAAATGAGTATTTGCTCAGCTGATTCAGAACCTTCTTCATTTTTTTTCTCTCTTTTTTTTTTTTTTTTCTTTTTTCCCTGACTGTGGTTTGCATCTTCTTGCATTCAGAAATGTTGTGATCTGGACAAAGAATGAAGTCCTCACCCTGCTAAATTTTACCACTGACTTGAAAGGCACTAAGATTTGATACAGAATTTCTACAGTCTTACATGAATTAACATTTATTTCACTTGCTAAAAGTGTCTTGTGTGAAAAGTCCTTTTTCAATTAGGGTGACTTGTAGTGATCTGGCTTGAGCTGATACTGATGTAGGTCAACCCTATAACAACAGACAAATGGGAGCAAAACACAGTCCTGCTAAACACTTTTTAATCAAATTGGTTCAACCTTCTCCTGCAGTAAAATAAAACTGCTTATGTGACCTTCCAAATGAAACCAAGAATATTTGACATATCACTGCTATGGCACATAATGAAAGCTGATTGCTAGTTTTAAGGGTGAGAATACCTCTGCAGATCCAGTGGCAATGAGAAAGTGTTGGGAAAAAAAAGATGGGTCTTCATTAAATTGCAGTCATGTGGCAGCTTTCAGCCACAAATCTAGCAGTACTTTTTTTGAGATTGTATCTCTTTTGCTGATGCCAGTTGGTGGACTGCTGGGAAGCACAGGAGGAGCTCTGCCATTTCAGGCTCCCCAGGCAAAGCACTGTACGTGTGTGTTTCAGGAATGCCCTAGGTGTGAGCTCTCACCAGCAACCGATGCTCTTGTCAGCAGGGAAGTTCTGCTGTGGTCCAGGTGTAGTGGGTAGTTTCTGTAGCCACTAACTTTCCTGGGTGATTGTTTCTGGGGCAGCTGCTGTAAACTGTACATGGAAATCACAGTGTGAGACTTGCCAATATGCTGGAAAAGACAAAAATAACCTATGTGAGCCGGGAAGAAATGTTTCTCTCCAAATAAAAGCTGCTTTGTGCTAATAGATTTCTCTCTTCCTTTCACACTCAATTCAGCGTAATTGTTTTGACAAATATGTTAATGTACAGTAAACCTCTTCTGTTTCATTATCATTTGGGAGACCTTTCTGCAATATCATACAGGTGATTCTCAACCAAATGCGAGCTGGTTTTGAAGCAAATTACACTAAAATGCATTGTATCAGATTTCCACCAATCCCAAAACTATAACACAGCTTTAGTTAACAGTAGCTAACAGCTTCCCCTCAAATCAACACACAGGATTTTGATCATGAAGACAGTTTCAGAAAATGCTGCCACATATTCCTCAAAATACTACATCAGGAATCGCTGAAAAAGTTTGGTTTCTGTCGGGGACGTATGTTAGAAGGAGATCTCAATTTGAACCATGTTGCGCTCCTTAAAGACTGTGGGAGAGAGCAGTGTTGGCTGGAACACAGTAAAGACTGTTTTCCATGACACAATGGAAGCTTTATTATCAGCTCTTGCCAGCACAAGTCTTTTGATAGAGAAAACAGTGTATCTGTAATAACAATGCATTAAAAAGGCAACAGAATGTTGAAATGCTTTACTGGAAAAATATCTATCTTTGGGAACATAATGTAAGTATCTGGGAAGTTCTGTGTTTATTGAGTAATGCTGAAATGCCATCCCTAGAATGAGTTATCTCAGAGACTGCATATAAAGGAAAGATTGCTGAGCACAGAGTAGTAAGACTAAGTGAAGAAACCATATTAAATGAATCACTTATCTGGATCCTGCCTCTCAATTCACATATTAGAGGACTAAGAATGAATTTGTGAAGCTCTTCCTCAGCTGGATGTGCATCAGTTCTCTACTATCCTTGGAGTCTTCATGATCACTTTTTCTTCATTGATGATACAGAACTCTGATAACTGAATGAGAATACACAGTCATCAGATCTACAAGAGGCCCTTCAAAACTGACCACAGACATGCAATACAAGTTTGAGTCTGCCTGTAATTCAGCAAGTCCATCTCCATCTGCACTTGACAATTTTTCCGAGGTATCTTTTGCCATCAGAGGTAGTATTTTCCCAGACCTGAAGGTGGAACTCTTGTTCCTTTGATGATCTTTATATGATTGTCATAGCATTTTGCATTGTCATTTCTTTTCCTTGAAGAAATACAGGATTCTAGGAAGTCACTGCTTGGTTGTCTGGGAGATCACATTAACAATGGTAGCAAAACTGGACAGTCAGGTTTGAACTTTGTGAGCACAATGAGATGTGCCAGGAGCTCTTCAGACAATGCCTGTCTGAACTCACACAAAAAATCTTTCTTTTTGGAAACATCCTTGATATCCTATTCCTTCTTTTGCTACCACATACGTAGACTTTTGGTCTTCTTCTGGAGCCAAGGCATTTAAGGACAGAAAAGGCAGAGTATAATTTTGTAGTCATAACATCACCACATCAGACTGCACAGAATATCTGCCTATATATTTTGCATCAAAACTTCCACTTTGTGTCCTTAAGCTACACTATATCTTTGGGAAACAACAACAACAAGAACAAAACAAACAAACAAACAAACAATCCAATTGCATTTGATGTTCCTCTAGGTTTGTTTCAGAGGATTAGCAAAAATTTTATTCTGGGAGTTCATGTCCCATTATGTACCATAATGCCCAGGCTCCTGTCAGTGCTGCCTCATGCCAGTTACTCTCCTTCAGATTCCAAGGGTGGCTCTGAGGCCTTATTTTGAATGTCAGCCTTCAATTGGACTGTCTTAAGAAGAATTTTTTTACAAATGACATTACCATTACTCACTGTTATTACTATTTACAACAGCAGAGTAGTAACTTTGTAATTTGTAATTCTGTATTTTTGTCTAAGTCATTGCTAATAGCACCAAGCCAAGAACAAGCTTTTCCAAAAGACATCCATATGATAAAACTTCATTTACAGTCACTTGAGAGCTCCCAGTTGAATCAGGCTTTAATGCACCTGCAATGGACTACACAGACTTTGTAATCTATGCTGTATTTACGAAAACAGCATACTGTTCTAACTTAGATGAAATCTTCTAAATCAACGCTATTACCTTTATGAACTAAAATTATATTCAAGTGTATTTAATCAAATATTTTCCATGAAAGTGTATTCAGCAGCATTTAATTATATGTATTTCATGACTGCACCCCAGGTCAGCACTTCCATGTTTCTTCCAGAGTACCCATATCAAACCGGTTATACTATGCCAGATCAAATTATCTTTACCATTTTTAAAATATATGAGCAGTGTAAACATTTTTAGTACTTTTTTTTTTTGTACTTTAGCACACTCCATCTATGTTGTGAGCAACAGAACTAATTAAGGCTATGGATTCTGTGGATTTGGATCCTTTAGCCCCTAAACAATTTTAATTGCAGTAACTACAATTTCCTCTTCATGTGCCCTACAACAATCACATCTATCACTCTGGAATGATGTGTATGCAAAGTGGATGGCTGATATATAAGTACTGAATGGCTGATCACTGCTAGGAAGAATGTGTAGAAACTGATGTTCTTGCCTGCTTTTCTCTGGCTGAGAAATGCCACTTTCCACAAAACTTAAATAAGCAGAATGACTTTCTCCAAACTACATCACAACTAGTCCAAGGGATATGGAATGACAGACAAATGGACAGATAACATAAAGCTTGTTTAGAACATAAAAATCAACTTAAACTTGTCAGTTCTCTCAGTACAATTAAGGACAGTTAAAAAACGTCCTATGCCAATAGTGGCACTGCATTCTCATTAACTGTTGCTACAGAGATATTGTCAGATAGCCAGATAGTTCAACTAACAAATAGTTATCTCTATTGAGAGGTGGCAGAATGACCAGAAGTGACAGTGGGCTGTCCTCGGATATTTGCTCTATGTAAGTGAAACCTGTGCTGCCAGTGCACCTACCTAAAAGGAGCAGCTCTGCTAGCCAGAGGTTGGAATACTGGGATAGCAATTGATTGTCTGTGAAAGATACAGACAGAATTCACTTATTTTCAAATTAGAATTTTCATTAATTATTTACTTTCTGAATAATGTAAACAAAGAAGGAGTCAGCAAGAGGGGAATGGAATCTCACCGGTATGACCTGGGCTGCTGTTGTCCCGTCCAAAAGAGAGCTTCGAAAATGGGGAAGGGTCTGGAGGGCAAGATGTATGAAGAACGGCTGAGGTCCCTGTGTTGGCTCGGCGCAGAGCAGAGGAGCTGAGGGGAGGCCTGATGGCGGCTGCAGCTCCTCACAGGGAGCGGAGGGGCAGCGCTGAGCTCTGCTCTGTGTGACAGCGACAGGGCCCGAGGGAACGGCATGGAGCTGTGTCAGGGGAGGGCATTGGGGGTGAGGGAAAGGGTCTGCACCAGAGGGCGGTGGGCATGGAACGGGATGCACGGGGCTGTGGGCACGGCCCTGAGGGCTGGAGTTCATGGAGCGTCTGGACACTGATATCAGATATGTGGTCTGAGTGCTGGGTGGTGCTGTGTGGAGCCAGAATCTGGACACGCTCGCGCGCGCGTGTATGTGTGCGTGCATGTGTGTGTGCGTGCATGTGTGTGTGCATGTGTGTGTGCGCGCGCGTCAGGAGGGGCCCGGTCACGCACCGCCGAAGGGGAGCACAGCGCGGCGGCTGCCTACCGGCATCCCAGGCACAGCCGCCACATGGTGAGGGGCCGCGGCGGTGAGACGGCGGGAGCACCGACGGGGGAGGAGGGAGGGAAGGGAAGGGAAGGGAAGGGAAGGGAAGGGAAGGGAAGGGAAGGGAAGGGAAGGGAAGGGAAGGGGCCGGAGCGGCCGCCGGGTTCCGGCGATGGCGGTCCGGCTGCTTTCGGTTTCACTTCGCTCCCCTCAGAAGCGAGGGGAGGGCCGGGCCGGGCTGGGGCCTAAGCGCGGATCCTCCGTACGGTAGGAGCCCGCCTCGGGGCTGGGAGCACGCGGGGCGAAGGTCTGAGCCGCTCCGCTCCCGCAGCCGCGGCGTAGGCCTCGGCTGGGCTACCGTCCCTCCGCGCTGCCCCGGGGCTCGTCCCGCTCGGGCGGCGCGTCCTTCCCTCCCCCCCCACGCCGGGAGTGTGGCGGGAGGCGGCCCTCCCTCGGAGGGGTGAGCGGGACGGGACGGGAGGGGACAGGCAGCGTGCGACTAAAACGGTGCGGTGTGTCGCTAAGCGCTGCGTTCCCCGAGGTTTTATAAACGGCGGTCTCCCTTGGCAGAAAGGAAGCGGAGTGGTCCACCCGCAGCCTCGATGTAGGACGTAATCCTTCTCTTGGAACCCGTTTCCCCTCCCCCACCTTGCTGCCTGCGTAAGGAGGGTGCAGGAAGCTCTGGCCTTGGTCACCTGTTGCAGCTGTAGTCCGGGAATACGGACAAGTCAGAAGTAGGGCTCTAATTGAGGGTTGAAGTATGTTCTGGCCGCATATGGTGGCTGTTAGTCCACGAGGAACTCGCTCTTCCTGTTCAGCTTTGCTCCAGAAATGCTGACGTGTTGGTCTCGTGCCTTTGGTGTCCGTCTGGATGAATAAGTGAGTGTGCTGTCCGGCCTTCTACAGCTGGCAGAGAGGTCGGAGGGCAGCCCGGGGTTTGCTGGGGTCTCCCCACATGCAGCCATGTGCCCACTGCTCTGTCTGGGTGATGTTTGCCTTGCTGGGTGATCCATGGGGTTGTGACCCGCTGGGATCTGCATGCTGTTGGGTACAGCCACCAATTCTGGTGGTTCTGCAGCAGACCTCCTGGATATTGCTCTCAGCCCCATTAGCATAGATGTGTTTTTGTGTCACTTTGTCAGTGCTTTGGGACAGGTCACAATGCTTTATTTTAGCCTGAGGTCCCTTTCACAGCCAGCAGGTAAAGATGAAGTTCAGAGCTGAAGTGCGTGGTGGCTGTAGCTCACCACAGGAGAGTGTTCCTCACGAACTGCAGAGCTCAGCCTAGCGAACAGCAGTGAATGCTCACTGCCTCTCAGTTCTGGGGCCTTCCCGTTTTACTGAAGAAGTTACTGTATATCTCTGCTTTCCAGCATCTATATTCTAACTGTTTGAATATTAACTTCTGATAAAAGGAGGAAGCTTTTTAACCTTACAACCCTTAAGAACAAGACATCTATGCTTGAGGTACTGTTTTTAGTGGCATTGATTGTTTGAAGTGTCAGAAGTGACTTTGCTTCAAATAGGACCATTATATTGCATTTCTTTGGGTAAGCAGAACTCTTCAGGTTTATTCTGCATTTTTTCCTACCAAATTTGAGTGAAGGACACTTTGCAGCTTAACATTTAATCCGTGCAACAGCATTTACTGAAATTTTTGGTATGTTACTGTACAGTGTAAGAATCTTCTCATTGACTGCAACTGTGTGACTGTGATTTCTGTGCACTGACACAGAGGAAGTTCCAGGTGACTGTCAGAATTAAACTGATACTTTCATTGTTGGGAATTATGTATGTGAAAATATATTTTCCCCCTCTACTCAGCTCTTGTGAGGTCCTATCTGGAATACTGGTTGGACAGTGATAGGACAAGAGGGAATGGTTTTAAACTGAAACAGGGGAAATTTAGGTTAGATATTTGGAGGAAGTTTTTCACACAGAGCTTGGTCTGGTGGTTGGCAACCCTACACATAGCAGAGGGATTGAAACTAAATGATCATTGTGGTCCTTTTCAATGCTGGCAATTCCATGATTCTATGAAAATCTTTTTACCCCTTACATTATCTAATTTAAATGATGAAACAAGATACTGTGTGCTGCTTGGATCTTTCCTTTTTTGAAAGAGGAAGTGAGTTACTATATAAAGACTTTGTGTGCTTTATATAGGCCTTTATTTAATAAAGATCAGACCAATGGAACATCTCAGGCTCTATTACTCTGTGAGAAGTACATTCAAACAAGAGGTCATAGACTGATCCTTTATGTAAGATGCACTTAAATAATTTTGAAGATACTGGACTATTTTGAGTAGTAAGAGTCATAGGTGGTTTTCATATTAGGTACGAACACTAAATTAATTACCATTACATATAGTTTACTTTTAGTTCCAGTTTAGATACTGGGGCCAGTATCTAAAAAAATGTAAATATTAATAAGGATGTAATTTCAATTTTTAATTTTAAATTACTGATGTAATGACAGAGTCTTGTCTTGGGCTTTTTTGCTCAAACTGAGCTATATTTTAGAGACTCACAGCAGTGTGTTCCAGGCTGTCAGGAGTCTGTGATGTAATGAGGAGCAGCTGTGTAGAAAAGACTTGGTGTCCTGCAGGACTTGATATTGAATGTGAGGCTCAGTGCACTGTTGAAAAGAAGGTGGGCAGTCACGCTGGAGGGTGCATTAAGAATGTAGTTGGAGGACAGTAGGTTGAAGCAGTGGATCTTCCCCTCTGTTCAGCACTTTTGAGACTGGCAAGGTGGTCAGGGGCTGGAACACACAGTATTAAAGGAGAAACTGGGTGAGGTGAGTGTGATCAGCCTTAGGAAGAGAAGGTGAAGGAAGGGGAGATGTCACTACTGGCTGTAGGAAGGCATGAGGCCTACTCTGCTTGGAGGTATGCAGCAGTAATATGGGAGACACAGAAAGTTCCATCTGAATATGAGAAAAATCTTCTTTGCTGTAAGGAAGACAGAGCACTGGCACAGGCTGCCCAGAGGGTTGTGGAGTCTCCTTCTCTGCAGATATTCAGAACTTACCTGGACACTTTCCTGTGTGACCTGCTGTAGGAAACCTGCTGTCGCATGGGGTTCAACTAGATGATCTCCAAAGATTCCTTCCAAGCTCCACGATTCCCTGAAAGGCGGTGGACACAAGCTGGTCTACTTACAATGAAGGTTTTTTGTCTTCATTGGTTTGTTGTTAATCTGAAGAATGATCAAGGACAGGAGCAGAGGGCTGGCAAGGGTACAGAGTGTCTGTCTGACAGAGCAGGGCCTCTGCAACCACATCTAGCTTGTGCTAGATGGCTTCTGAAATTCCTTTCCAGCCTATGCTATGCTGTTACTCTGAGATTACTGAAGAAATGGGTGTTCTAGCTTTGGAAATTAATTATGAGTGTTATCCTTAGGAAAACACAAACACAATAAAGTATGCAAGAAAGCTGAGTTTTCTTTGCCATTACATCTGGAACTGACATACCAGAAAACCATGTAATTTTTGACTGTATTTGAATTATATTAACTTCAAATAAAGAGGTACTACTTTCTTGCTTTTTTTTTCTTATCGATAATTTATAGCTTAGAATTTTTGTTACAAACACTGCAATATTGTGTGAGGAAAAAAGCAGAAGACCTGAAGGGAATGTAAGGAGTTTGTCTATTTCTTTCTTAGTTTCTCACCCCTGGTTTGCAGTGTGTAGTAGGCAGCAGTGCCTTAAAGCACCTTACATACCCTGTTGTTACTGAGTTTACAGCCTGGGAATTAGAAAGGTGGAGAAAGTGACTACCCATAGCCCTGCATGTAGCTAAATACTTGGATTTAAAACCAAGCTGTATCAGGTTACCTGCTCAAGATGTATGGCCGTTAGCTACATTAACTCTCCTTCACAGTGGTCCAGTTGGTAAGTTATCTGAACTGTTGGTTTTGACTCTTGTCGATCTCTAAATACCAGTAAGAGGCAGGTACCAAATTAGGATGAATTTAACTTGTAGCAGAACAGCTGAGACCAGAATGAGTTCTGTTTTTCCGCTAGCTGACGCTGTGCAATAAGCTCAAAGAATTTGTGTCATCACTTCTTCAACATGATTCTATGTAGAAGAAAAGCATGACTTGGATACTGAATTTCTTTAAGGAACTAAGTTTTAATTAATTCTAGCTCATAAACTAGTGGATTAGCTTATAAGCTGTCAGGAAATTAAATGTGTATTCAAAGCGGAAGTACTGCGGTTTGGTGTATAATGCTTTTTATCTTTTGTTCATGGCAAGAAGAATCCAGGCTAAGCTCAAGCTGGAGTTCAGCCATGAGATACGAGTGGCTCTTTCAAGGGGGTCAGGGACCAGGCCTACTGGTTTTAGAATGATGGGAACAGTGAATTAACACGCAAGGATTTAAAGTTCTTTTCTCTTCCTGAAAGAAGTGAGGCTGCACGCTGCATGTTTATTTGAAGATTTGGACAAAGAACTATTAATATTGAATGTGTGGAGTTAGAAAGGGATTTGTAAGGCTCTTTGGTGGCATATCCCCATACAGTTTGAAGTGGGGATAATTTAGTAATGCTTGCAAAATCAACCGATGAAATAATTATCTTCTGTGGTTCTGAAGAAGGAAAAGGTGTTTCAGTGGTAATTCTACAGTGAA